GATAGATTGCCAGCGTAGATTGCAATCTTGCATTATATTTTATCACAAATCCAGATTGAAATATGACATTAACTGTCATGTGATGTGACCACAATGTGATATCTGTGGGGCTAGTGTTGCCGATCGATAGTCGATCGACTATCGATAGTCTATCGATAGCCAAACTATCGCAAGACAATCGATTGGCCCATCGATACTGTCGATACTATCGATACTATCGATAGCTCAAAACTTGCCGTTCCAAATTTCAGATTGCATAAGATTGGTAATTCATTTATGGGAAAATGTATTAAATTCTTTAATAAATTACCACAAACTGTTGTAGAACTACCCATTCATAAATTCAAAGCACATTATTAAAAGTACCTTAATGAAAAAGGGCTACTATAAAGTCGATGATTATTTAAAAGATAAAAATGTTTGGGATGCGTTACTGCCTAGCTCGCATAAATATTTATAACTTTGTACATTTGAAAGCCTGTAAACCTTTGAAAAAGAGGCTGACAATAGTTACTGAGTTTCTTGCGCTGCTTCTTCTCAGCACTGGCCCATTTATTTATTGTCCTGAAGCAGTGGTAGGGTTAATACTGGGAAGTGTAAAAGTGCTTTTTTTAAGCCTATTTACAGAAATAAATGAGTTTTACTCAGTTTTTTTTAGCTTTTTTCCATCGATAGTATTGTTGCTCGTGAAGAATAAACTATCGATAGTATCGATACTATCGATAGTATTGTAGCTTTTGAATAAAAAGCTATCGATACCATCGATAGTTCTAGACTATCGATAGTTTGGCAATTTACAATAGTATCGTTTACAATAATTGGGTATAATAATAGTCAATAGGCACAACAATAGGGTTATTGAAATACTTGAATTATTTCATATAGTTAACCAAAACATTTAATTATAATGTTTCCAAAATTGGCAATACATTTTATTTGCCGTACTTAACTAATGCAGGTAGTTTTAAAAAAATTAAATACAAGTGAGATTATTATTGTTAGTTATACAGGGTGTTAGGTAAATGGGTATATGAGCCGACACTAGCCCATGTAAACATGGTCATATCAATGGTATGGTGAAGTCAGAAAATCGATATCTTCATTTTAGTTATTTTAATTTTCATACAAATCGGATTTTATAAAATTTATTTTGTATGAAAATTAAAATCGATAGTATCGATACTCAAATTCAAATTCAAATTCAAATTCGTTTATTTCTTTAACTTAGCCTAGTTCAGTTACAAGTTGTTGGAGCTTCCTGTTAAGCAACAGATGTTACTTGTGCTAGGAAGCACCGCTCTTCCATAACAATATTACAGTAGGTAGGCAAATTTAATTTTTAATGCGTTTAGTGTGGATAGAACAAAATAAATAAATAAGTACACTTTATAATATTTTACAAATGAAAATTAGATAAGTGAAAATTTTAAAATTAAAGTTAAATTAATTCGAAAATACTAATTAATACTAGAACCCAGGTAAAAAATATAATGTGCGAGTGTGTAATGTGTGTGTATGTGTAATGTAAGTGTATGTGTAATGTGTGTGTATGTGTAATGTGTGTGTATGTGTAATATATGTGTATGTGTAATGTGTGTGTATGTGTAATATATGTATATGTGAATTTATGTATGATTTTGTTTTAACTCACTATCAGAGATTCAATTTCTTCGTAATTTTTAGTTTGTAGCCATTCAGTGACTGCTGATTTGCACTTTGCATACGTTAATGGATAGATGTTTATTTCTTTGTTAATTTTGTTATACATGGTAGCAGATCTGTTTCCATGTTNCGTAATTTTTAGTTTGTAGCCATTCAGTGACTGCTGATTTGCACTTTGCATACGTTAATGGATAGATGTTTATTTCTTTGTTAATTTTGTTATACATGGTAGCAGATCTGTTTCCATGTTGACGTTTAGCAAAGATTGATTTAATTTTTGGTATTTTGGCAACGTTAAATTTGCGTCTCGAGTTGCTGGTGTCAGGCGTATAGGGGAGCGTTTTATGTGTTCTTAGGACAATGTTCAGGATGTACAGCTTCCTTACTGATAGAGTTCCTGTAGCAGTGAAGAGAAGCTCTGTTGAAAACATGCGAGGTAAGAAATACATCATTTTTAGTAGTGCCCTCAGAGCTCGCTCTAAGTCAAGAAATCTTGTTTTATTTGCTCCACCCCATACAGCTATGCAATACGTTATAACTGATTGCGCTAAAGCAAGATATGTTTGATGTAGCAGATGTTCTGAAGCTACATGACGCAGTTTCTTAAAAGTCCACATGAGTTTTCTAGTTCTACTTATAATCAATTCTATATGGTTATGCCATGATAGCCGTTGGTCAACGAGAACGCCTAGGTATTTTATATGGGAAACCTTTTGTAATTTAGCACATGAGCATTGTCCATCGGAATCGGAATGACATTGGTGAATAATTAAGTTAAAGTCCGAAGACGGTTGGCTGTTTTCATATTTAGTGAAACAAATGTAGTTACTTTTCTGAACATTCAGTGTGAGTAGGTGACTATTTAGCCAACCCGCAATTTGAGTTAGTCCTTGTTCTGCCAGTATTTTTAGTCGCTCCCAACCCTTGGCTGCAAAAACTATTGCAGTATCGTCAGCGTAGGAGAAGATATGGCCACTGCTTATTTTCATATCACATAATTCGTTGATATATACTAAAAACAACGTTGGACCCAGCACACTGCCTTGGGGCACTCCATAGTTTACAGTGTGTTCGGAGCTCATTTCCGACCCCACCCCGACTCGAGACCTCCGATTACTGAGATAATTTTCAAGCAGTTTAAGCGGTGTACCTCGAATACCTACTTTATTAAGACTGCGTATGAGAATAGGTATTGAGACCGTATCGAACGCTTTCTTTAAGTCTAGGAAGACAGCCAAACACTTATTCCCAGAATCAACGCTATCAACTATAGTGGAAGTCAGCGCTATTACTGCGTCTTCAGTAGATAAGTTTTTACGGAAACCGTATTGTGAAGCAGAAAGGATATTGAATTTAGAAAAGAACTTCACTAGTCTAGTGTTTATCAGTTTTTCGATAATTTTTGCAACCACAGATATCACAGAGATGGGTCTAAAATTTGATGGATCATCCTTAGCACCACTTTTATGTATGGGTGTAATTATAGTTTGTTTTAAAACCGTTGGAAACACACCAAGTTCAAAACACCGATTTACAAGGTGTACTAATACAGGCACAATATCATTGCTTGCTAGTTTTAGAAATCGTGTCGGGATTTTATCCCACCCTGGGGCGCTATGGGACTTCATAGACAGGATAGTCGAGAGCATTTCATCAGAGTCCGTTTGAATGAGGGCAAATGACGAAGTCAAGGACATGTTTGATCTTTCATTTTCCTGTGTTAAGCAGATGTTAGCGTTGATATTTTCTGCCAATTTTTGACCGACGGTAGCAAAATAAGCGTTGACTGTATCCAGTGATTCTTTTGGAGAGCTAGCAATATTTAAAAGCTCTGAGTTTTGGGATTTTGGAGGTTTACGCTGGGTAATATTATTTATGGTATGCCAGTANTGGACTTCATAGACAGGATAGTCGAGAGCATTTCATCAGAGTCCGTTTGAATGAGGGCAAATGACGAAGTCAAGGACATGTTTGATCTTTCATTTTCCTGTGTTAAGCAGATGTTAGCGTTGATATTTTCTGCCAATTTTTGACCGACGGTAGCAAAATAAGCGTTGACTGTATCCAGTGATTCTTTTGGAGAGCTTTTTATTTAAGAGCGACAATACTATCGATAGTATCGATAGTATCGATAGTATCGATAGTATTGCACATATTCAATAGTATTGCCTCGTTTTGGCCTATCGATGGAGAAGGCTTTCTCGAATGAAAACTATCGATAGTTTTACTATCGATAGTTCGGCAACACTATGTGGGGCGACGGCTCAGAAGGCGACGGGCGTTTGCCACAGATATGGATGGCGTTTGCCATCTTGTGGTGGTAGAACCATGAAGCTAAAGATAAAAATGGAGGGCAGAGTTGGAACAAAAATTTGAGTCAAATACCTACTTATATCTATCTCGCTCTCTGCGGCCCTACCTCTCTTTTTAGTGTGAACTGTAGTATTGCTATCTTCTGATTTAAATCTCCTTGTAAATTTTTCGAAATAGCCAATTCACTAACCAAATCAGAAGTTAAACAAATAAAATAATAATTAATATTTGAAACTAAGATTACCTAGTTAAATAAAACATCACAAAATTGTCGGCCATTTAGGCTTAATGTGTTGGTGAATCAGGGAATTACAATTCCAATTCCTGGGTAATCGGTACCATGTGGCAACATCGGCCCAATCCGGCCCATCATGGCGGTTGTTTACTATTTTGTTTATTAAGCAGTTAATTTCGTTTGAGATTGTTTACAGGAAATAATCATTGTTTTATCACAAGAATTGGTGCAAAATTTTGTAGTGCGTGGTTGCGGTAGTACGTGGTGTCCTGGAAGTGACATAAGATTCCACGCGTAAGTGTTTATTTCGTGATTTCCGACATTGGATCATTGTAAACATTTTTCACATTTTTTACATTAATTTCTTCCTAAAACGTTTTACCAGTAATTACACTTATCATTTTTAATTATACCTATGTCAAGAAATAAAGATTTTACATTGGATTCATTGAATTTGAGCAATTTTATATTTTTTGTTTATTTAGAAAGAGCGAGTCTGCCCACAGAGAGCGAGATAGTGATACTTAGTTTGTGCTTCAAGTAGGTATTCGGAGTGTGGCCTCCATTTTTATCTGTAGCTTCATGGGTAGAACTGGCTGTCAGTCAGCTGTCATTAGTGTCATTTAGTTAGCCAACTTCGCCAAGGTGTTGTAAATAATAAACCAACTGGTGATTCGTTATGATTTTACTGTTATCGTTAACTTTTACATTATCAATTGAATAATTGTAAAACATTTTTCCATTGCTGTATCAGTTATCTGGCAGCTATGTCGTGTTCGTTTTCTCTAATATGCCCCGCCGTTTTCGTGGTCTGAGGAGGATTCTAAAAATGCCTCTCACTGAGGCTGGGGATCAATATTCTGTGTGGGTGAGTAAATAGTTATTATCAACTGGATAAATATTACATTTATGCTGCACTTTATTGACTTATTGTCCACGTGTGATCTTGATTTATTTTAACCCGTCAATGACGAACTGCATTGTTGGCGCAGGTTTTCTAAGACTACCCTTTGTGACCTTATAAACTTCTTATAAATAAAGGTAGTGTTATATTCAATTAGAAAGGCGAAAATTATCCAAGTAATTTTTATGAATGGCTCATTAAGTATAGGTTTGATCTGAACTAATCTGAAGTAAGTACAGATTCTGTACTTCTTGGCTTGTATTTTCATACATTACCAATTTATTGTTATTTCTACAGGACATCTCATACCCACAGTACAGTGTTCAATTTTACTGTTAAAAACACTGCAATAGTAACAAATTACTTGCCTACTTCCAAGACTTGAAGATTTTAAGTATAGGTACTATTTAAATCCTATTCTATTTCTATTACCTATCTAGTCCTTCATAAAATTTGTTTTAATAGTAATGTATGTTAATTATTGTTAATACAACTTGGTAGTGAGTACATAAGTACACAAAAGTAATTAAATTGTAATTTTTTTAGGTGGGGTTGATTTACATCTTTAATTTAATTGTGGGCACAGGAGCCCTAACGTTGCCAGCAGCTTTCGCCCGTGCAGGATGGGGTCTCAGCACCATTTCACTGGTGTTCCTTGCGTTCATGAGTTATTTAAATGTAACTTATGTCATCGAGACTATGGCTTGTGCCAATGCAGTATTCAAATGGAAAAGACTGCAGGCAATAAAGAGAGAGAGTGTGAGTATCATTATTAATCCTACTAATATTATAAATGCGAAAGTTTGGATGTCTGGATGTTTGTTACGCAAAAACTATTGAATGGATTTTGATGAAACTTTACAGTATTATTGTTTATAACCCAGAATAACATATAGGCTATAATTAATGACGATCTGTGACAAACTAAATTTCATGCGGGTGAAACCGTGGGCAAATGCTAGCTAACTATAAAATATCATTGTCATCAGTATTTCTATATCATCATGTAATTTGTTTAATCTGCACTGTTCGTATATTGAAATAGATTGGTAAACTATACTAGAGTTACACCTTGCTCTCTAATTGCCAGGATATTTTGTCTTATACACCTCATTTTATATACCCATCTTCATTTATAATGGCATGAAAAAATAACACTTAATTAGTGAACTTCATTCTAAGCAGTTGAAACTTGGAGAAGTACATAATAGAGTAGGTAGTGCAAAATGTGTTTTTCAATACATTTTCCATGCATATACTACCACACATGTTTAGTTACAAGGCCATTTTAGTAATAAAAACAACTATCAGTCGTAAAATAATTCATTTGATTACACTTTCTTGCAGAAATAATAAGTAAAGTTTTGCTTTGGGAGTTGATATCTAATTAATTCCTAATTAGATTTCATGCTAATTTCGTTTACGAGAATAATTGTATCTGTTGTAATTTTTTCTGAAGCTTTGTGTTTTACAGATTTCTAAGCAAAGTAATTTATGGTAACTTGATAGCGGTAACGAGTTTTTACCGTTAGCTTCGATCTAACTACGCGTTAGTATGAACGCGCAGTCGCGCACTTATAATAATTGACGAATGTGATTGAAGACTCACATCTATCTAATGCTAAAACTAATATTTATATGCGGAAGTAATTCTGTCTGTTTGTTACCTTTTCATGCTTAAACAAGTAAATCAAATTAGATAAAAGGAGACCTGAGAAAAGTCATAGGGTTTTGAAAGATAGGATCGCAAGAGTCGTCAGCTAATAGAAATCGAGCAGGCGAAAGCACGGGCAAAAGCTGAGTACCTAGTTTAAACGCGACGAAAATGAGAATCAATCAAGCCTAGGCGCAGACCGCCGACTTTTAGTTGGCCGATAGTTGGGCCCGGTTCTAATTTGTATAAAGAATCGGCCGGTACCAAATCGGCGTAATGTGCGCACCTTCATACATCTCTATACTGATTAACAGCCCGACCCAACTAACGGCCAACTAAAAGTTGGTGGTCTGCGAGCTGCGTCTAGGCTAAGTGAAACCTAAAGAAATTGACAAGATAAAGTTTCAGCTACTGTAGCATGGTAATACTTGACTGTAGTGTTTATAAACTTTCGCGAAAACAGTTTTTTCAAGTGCGGAAGCGTTTTTAAGACTAATCCTTTTATTTATTAAAAAACTAACGCACACATCGCCTCTAGATCCAAGACCACGACTCGGATGACGAGGCAACCACGTCACAACACCAAGGCGACTTGGAGGAGCCCCTGGTGTGCGGGGAATCCATACCCTCTCGGTATTACAGCCTCGACCGTCGCGTGGAACTCGGAGAAATGGCCAACCTGTTCTTCAATAAGACAGGTAAGCTGTTAAATGAGCATTTTACAGGATCATTTTAGCTAAAAAGCGTCCATTGCTGGACAAAGGCCTCCTTCAAAGATTTCCGCAAAATCGATCCTGATAGATGCTTCCCGCGACCTTCATTAAATCGTCAATCCATTGAGTATGAGGCATAGTGCTTCCACACTACGTTTTCCGGTCCGTGGTCGCCACGGCAGTATAAACTAATAAACTTATCTTTTTTTATATAAACTAATAAACTTATCTTATTTTCTGATGGTAAGTGACGATCAGGCCGAAGATGGAAGCGAGCTTCACCCGGAATCCTCAATCACGGAGGAACTGGCTATCTTACCTCTAACTGCCGGAACACAACAATGCTGTTAACATTGTTGTTATGGCGACAGACTTAGGTAAAATGGTGGTAGCTAGCCAGGCGGGCTTAGAACAAGCAAATCGAACAGAAAAATCTGCCCCCATTGGGAATTGAACCCGGGCCTCTGCTTCTGAAGCAGGTGGTCTTACCACTAGACCATAGAGGCGGTTAAACTATCTCTTACCTAAAAGAACACTTCTAGTCTTAAAACTCAATTAGACTATAGACACCCGCATACAGCAGCACTAGCTAAAAAGCGTCCACTGCTGGGCAAAGGTATCCCTCAAAGATTTCCACGATGACTGATCCTGCGGTTCCCGCATCTAGATGCTTCCCGCGCCCTTCATTAAATCGTCAGTCCATTGAGTATGAGGCATAGTGCTTCCACACTGCGTTTTCCGGTCCGTGGTCGCCACAGCAGTAAACTAAGAAAATTATCTCTTCTCTAAAAGAAGCACCTAAGAGCTAAGAAGTGTTTTCTCTTATCTCTGAAACTCTATTATAATATAAATATCTCTGGACAATTTCACACAGCCCCATCTAGCCCCAAATTAAATTAAACACCACGCGAAAACTTACAATGTAACCATTTTAGAAACCGCGCGAGATTTTATTAAAAGCATTCACCTAAGTGCAAATGCGCCTATTTATGCGCCATCCGTAGCATCCATGGACCGACGATCTGATGAAGGTCGCGGGAGGCGCCTAGATGCGAGCGGCGCAGGACCGGTCTTTGTGGAAATCCTTGGAGGAGGCCTTTGTCCAGCAGTGGACGTCTTTCGGCTGAAACGAATGAACGAACGAATGCGCCATGTGAAATGAAAATAAACAAATACGTCGTCGTTTCGTCTACCGTTTGGTGTAGTGGTTCAGAACGGACTACTATGCCGAGAGGTCCCGGGTTCGATTCCCGGCCGGGCAGAAATTGTCCAAAGATTTATTTATTATTTATTTATTTATTTATAAATACGAGTAACTCCAAATGTTTGTTGGCAGGGAGGATCATGTTCTACTGCACTCTCTGCGTGTATTTGTATGGGGATCTGTCCATATACTCCGCAGCCGTGGCCAAGTCTATTATGGACGTGGTGTGGTAAGATTTTGCAATATTTGGCATCACACTTACTTTAATATTTCGTAATCTAACTAGCATGCATTCTCTTCTTATACATTGTATTTATTAGATTGTACTCTGTTATACAACAATGTTAGTATAATAACTATAAATAATTTCGACCGGATTGTGCAGTGTTGCGATGACAGGCTATGAGTAATGGTGTCCCAGGTTCGCTTCTCAGTTCGGTCAAGTTTTGGTAATTTACAATTTTTTTGATATTTGACTGATTTTCGCCTTAAAGCTTATTCAACTTTATACGCTTCTCTCTCTCTGAAAATAATTTTAAAGTTATACTTATTGTATACGTGACAGATATAGACGCTAAGGTACGCTTATAAATGTAAGGAACTGAATATCTCTACCAGTTGGCCTTTGGGCGTGCCAGTGGCGGTTTTCGTCAATTAAAATAAAGTGTTATTATGAAAAGCATTGTCTCTGAGTGCGCAAATGTAACACACATATTTAACCAAGTGTGACTCCAGTATTGTTCAGGCGTACTCAGTGACGTATAACAAACTCTTAATTTGTCCCAGACGTCTATTTTTACTTAGTGGAGTAAAATTTGTAGTTGAATTTGGAAATATCAATTATAAAACCTTATTTGTAACCTAAGAACCAGTTTTTTTTGTAGTTTTATTTTCTTCTTACAATAGTTTGAAACAATAGTTTAATCATGGTTCATGTATATGACGGCTCATAACGTATGAAACGAGGGTTTCGACCTGTATTCATATTAAGGCTCAACTGTGAATATTACAGTATGTTACAAAACTTACGACCCTCTTAATAAAAGAATAATTAATTTGATGTTATACATAGTGTGACAAAGACGAGTGACGTCACTGTGTCTTTAAAAATAATTTTTTGTAAGCATAAAAAAGTAATGAAATAAAATAGCATAAGCAGATGATCAACTTTATTATAATGTTGACTTTGTCTTCATTTGACAGTTTCGTCATTTTGACTAGACTGTACCTGTTGCAGACTACTAAACACAGTGACGTCCTATGTACTTATTTGTAATGCTTTTTCGCAACAAAAAGAAGTAAACTTACACTTTGGTTGTTCCTATCCTAATACAAGCACAAAGGATGGCACAGCGTTTAGATCAACCTGTCATCTGCCGTCATCCTCTGTCATTATAACGATCCCCCTTTCTTTACCAGCTCCTCAGTGCCTTCCAACATGACAGACCCAAGCGAGTGGGACGAGCTGCCGTGTTTCAACGCCACGTCACACCTGCAGCCATACTCCCGGCTAGAAGTGTACCGGATAGCGCTGCTGACGTTTGTGGGCGCTATGGGGCCTTTTGTCTTCTTCAACGTGCAGAAGACGAAGTACTTACAGCTGTTTACGTCGGGCATGAGGTGGTTAGGTGAGTTATTAGAAGGTTATGATAATATTTGGTCAACCTTCAGACGTACTCCCGGCTAGAAGTGTACCGGATAGCGCTGCTGACGTTTGTGGGCGCTATGGGGCCTTTAGTCTTCTTCAACGTACAGAAGACCAAGTATCTACAGCTGTTTACCTCGGGCATGAGGTGGTTAGGTGAGTGATGACCATTTTAACCCTTAACCAGGCTCTGGTGGCCATAGAGCCCACATCAATTTGAACTTTATGCTGTGAAGATACGTTTGAACCAATGTTTTTTTTGAGCCTGGTTAAGGGGTTAACTCATTGGATTTGTCTCATATTTGAGGAATATAGGTACTCTGTATCATGAGTAGAGTCATAATTATATTAAAAGGATGCCAACTATTTCAATTCTATCCTGTATACGCCTGTGCACGGAACTTCCTATGGTAAGTACTACTATTTTAGTAACTAGCTAGGTTTGTATTTTCTATATCAAATGTGGGCCTTCATAAAATATTTTTCCAATAACAATGACATGTATCGTAAACAAGAAAAAATGTGCCTTCACAATCCCTTTGATGGAAGCGTATGAAAATAAAACTTGTCTTCTTTTTTTTTAAGTTCATTTTATGTTTATGATCCCCAATCCCTACTTGCAAACTCACCTCACGTTCGGCCGAGATTATTGCTTTGTGTGCCGGGACTCCTAAAACGGAGTGCCCATTTGGGCACCTTACCTTTGTAAGCAAATATAAGTGACTGCTTGTCTTGCTACTGGAATAAAATTTATTTTGTTTCTTTTACGAGGAATCTAGTCTTAGCTTGTGGTTTCTTCTGTGTGCAGTAGAAAACCTAAGAGCCCAATTCAATTGATATTCTCTTTTATAAAGGAACTACTTTGGGTCTACGGCTTTTCCTATGTGATTCTGACGGTTTTGTACAGATTTTTTTTATTGTGCGACACACGATTTTAAGGTTACAATTTGTAAGTTTTTTTAAAACATAAGTCTTCAATGGATGGAAAAGCATGGTATCAAAAAAGAAACCGCGGTATCTTATGTTAGTTGTAATAGGCTCTATTTTTCAACAACATGCTGCTTGCTGAATCGAACTCACGGCGTTGAATAGAGCTCTGATTGGTTCGTGTGTCACCCTGTGCGTCCACGCGCACTGTGAGACTTCATAGTGTTTGTGAATACGGGCGTAACATTGGTAGGTATGAAAGCTGCGAAAATGTGCGCCGATTCGGTAGACGTCACGCGTCCACAACAGGTTTCGATGGCGGCCGACCTTGAACTCGCTTAGTGCTTATGTCACCCGTGTTAGCTATGTTATAATGGCTGGAAAGTGGGAAATTCTAATATCATCTTTGCAGAACCATTTAACGATTAGAGGTCTCCTATTTGGACCATGTACTTGACATTCTTACATGTGTGATGTGTGATATATTTAGAGATTCTGTTCTGTCTGTACAGTCAGCAGGCAGGTGGGGCAGGAAAGTTCTCGAGTGGCGACCACGGGCTGGAAGACGTAGCGTGGGCAGGCCTCCTACTAGGTGGACCGACGATCTGGTAAAGGTCGCGGGAAGAGCCTGGATGCGGGCAGCGCAGGACCGTTCATTGTGGAAAACCTTGGGGGAGGCCTTTGTCCAGCAGTGGACGTCATTTGGCTGAAAAGAAGAAGAAGTACAGTCAGCATCTAATATGTAGTTGGTGACACCCTAAGTAGCCAATATGTTCGCAACACGTCTAATTGGAATAAGGATGTAAATGTTATCGACTTTTTGGCCACTTTAGATGTCTCGAAATATTTGACGCTGACTGTACCAGTAAATTAGGTTATTCTTATCAGCATTATTGGCTATTTTCTGTGATGCCACTTATGAATGGGATCCTAATGACTATTTAATTAATGTAATGAATAAACTTTGATAGCCGCTTTGACTACATTGCTCACAGCAGTTGTGGAGCAAATGTTAGTGTAGTGAACACTGAGGGACATATTTTTTAGTGTACTTGGTAATTAATTGGTTCTGTTTGGGTTTAATCAAAAGCCAAACTGTAAATATTGGCTATATGGGAGTCGTAGTTCTGGGAACGAGAAGTAGGCTTAGTCCTACTTATATTATACTAGCTGACCCGGCGAACTTTGTTCCGCCTTAATGGCAATAAATAAGCAGACTTTTTTTTTATTTCGAACGGGATAAAAAGTATCCTATGTCCTTCTCCTGGCTCTAGGGAGGTACCCTGACAATTTTCAGCTAAATCGGTTCAGCCGTTCTTGAGTTATAAGCGAAGTAACTAACACGACTTTCTTTTATACAGTGTGTCCGGGCATGTAGTGATCAAACTTTAAGGGCGTAATCTATGGACAATTTTATCGGTGAAAATACTTTAAATTTGGGGCTTGACCCATTTCTCGCATATTTACAAGGACTTAAGTTTTTAATTTTAAGTTTTCACCTTTTCCTTCAAAAACAAGTGATAGCGTGGGTAGTTTAACATTAATAAGCAAAAATTTTTTTATCATGCGATAGCCAATAAAATTATCTATTAGTAGAAGTAGAAAACAGATACAAGTTTCATACATTTTAAGGGTGTAAGAACGGATTTAATTAGAAATAAACACGATTTTTTTCACATCTTTTTCAGTTATTTCCCAACACGAGAAAAACCAGGTCGTTAAGGTATGTTTTATTTGCATTTTATTATTAGTATTTGAGCTATTCTACAAAACGAATGTAAGTTTATTAGTCTACGTCTATTAGTTTCGACGTAATTGTTAAACAAAGATACCCCTTCCCAGCGGTTTCCATAGCGCACGCGACATGCGAAAATGCACTGCCTGAAAGAATTACACAACCTATTCCGATTACTATGGAAACCGCTGGGAATGGGTATCTCTGNTGGCCTATTAAGTACATGCTTTTTTGTTTTATTATGAAAGTTTAGAAAACTGCGCAGTTTTTTAAAATATTTTGGACCTATGGAAATTCTTTTTTTTTCTCATACATTTCAATTGAAAATTTTAGAATGTTCTGCTAAAAGCATATTTTTTATGTTTCTAGCGAAAATTTTGTATCTTGCATTAAAGATAGGAAGGTGATTATTTTTTTCAAATATCTGCACTTAATAGGGAATCTGTCAAAAAAAAGAAATCTGAGAAAAGTCAACCCAAAAAAAAAGATAAAAAAAAATTAAGCCACTAGGTCCTGAAATTTGAAAAAATCACAAAATTAACGATAACTTCTAAACTAAGAAAAATCGTAGAACATACATGGGGGTGAAATCAATAGGTCTAGTCTTCACCTATCACCTGCCTTCGGCTTGACACCTTACAAGAAACACCCTGTATACAGGGTGGAAACGATAAGTGATCTCACCCGATTATTTCTAAACTATACAATATATCGAAAAACTGGTTACTGATCCTGAAAGTGCTTCATGAGCTCTTTCAAACGGTGTTAATAATAGGTTTCAGAATAAACTGGAACAATCCGAAAATTCAATGTTTCCAGCTTCCATACATTTGGTAAAGTTACATAATTTTAAAAACTACACAAGATGTCGTAAAACTGGTTACTGATTCTAAAAGTGCTTTACGAGCTCTATCCAACGGTATCAATATCAAATTACTGAATAAACTGGATCTATCCTAAAATTCAATGTTTCCGTCTTCCATACATTTAGTACTATCACAGTCATGGCACTCATCTCTTGATAAATTTTATAGCAAATAAAGCCTAAAACTAATGATTTCACAAACAATTTTAAATAAGATGCAAGTCACGAGTTTATTTAATCGACTTTTTGAGTTTATTATTTAACAAATATTACACATTCTAATTTGTGTCGTCGTCATACATTGAGTATGGAAGCTGGAAACATTGAATTTTGGGTTATAATATCTTGTATGGTTTAGAAATAATCGAGTGAGATCACTTATCGTTTCCACCCTGTATAGAAATGCTAAAGTTTGGATGTCTGGATGTTTGTTACTCTTTCACGCAAAAACTACTGAACGGATTTTGTTGAAACTTTACAGTATTATTGTTTGTAACCCAGATTAACATATAGGCTATAATTTATGCCGATCTGTGACACAAAATTTCACGCGGTTGAAGCTGCGGGCAAAAGCTAGTCTTGTCATATTACCTAGAAATTTTGGGCCAATTGATTATTAATAACAAACATTTTCTTTTACAGCGTTCGCGATAATGATCTCAATGGCGATTCATCTGCTCATCGGGCGAGGGCCTCAAGGCCACCCGCCGGCCTTTGACGTCACGGGCATGCCGACGCTATTCGGGGCTTGCGTCTACTCCTTCATGTGCCACCATTCCCTCCCCGGCCTCGTCAGCCCCATCCGGGGCAAGAACCAACTCGGCCTCCATCTCGCTCTAGACTACGCACTCATCAGCGTCTTCTATCTCCTTCTAGCATTCACCGGAGCCTTCGCTTTCGCACGGCTTAACGACCTCTACACACTCAATTTTGTCCCAAAAGACAACGAGAACATATTCCTAGAAATCGTCGAGTACTTCCTTGCTCTCTTCCCAGTCTTTACTTTGTCAACTAGCTTCCCAATCATAGCTATCACTTTAAGAAACAACCTGCAAAGTCTCTTCTTAGATACAACTAGGTTGGAGTCGTACAACTTCGTGCTGAGGAAGCTACTCTTTCCAATCGTGACGGTGACTCCTCCGCTGCTGCTGACGTATTTCTTAGAAGATATAAGCATTCTCATTGAGTTTACGGGGTCATACGCAGGCACCGGGATACAGTATCTGATCCCAACGTTTCTAGTGATATCCGCTAGGCGGCACTGTATCAATTTACTAGGGCTAGGAGTGGTGAACAAGTATAAGAGTCCCTTCTCTAACGTTGCATGGGCAGTGTTTGTGCTACTGTGGTCTTTCGTCTGCATAATATTAGTCTCTGTCAACATGTTCCAAAAGAAATCATGACAGTAATGTTGGAAAAGCCTGGCGCAATATAAAGTTTCATAAATGATATGTCCGTACGGTATGATAAGACCGAATGAGTAAACATATTATATCGCTATTGATAGACGAAAATGGTGCTCCACCGGTCCTATTAGCATTTTAATTATCTAATTTGCGTTGAAATAATGAGATAACGAACTAGGATTTGTATTTTTGATCGATTTGTGAAAACAAGTCAATTTGGCCTTGTCGGTTTGTATGTCAGTAATAAATTATCAAGTCGGTTTTGTTATCGATCCCGGCGTCTGTCCCTAGGACGAAGTTACTTGACCGGGTGTTTTCTGTTCATTTAAGGCTTGGGAAAGCTGAAATAAAATGATATTACTGGTCCTTATATTATAATAAAAAGGTACAATAGTAGACAGTTCCTAGCTTGAGTTTATAGTATCAACGTTAGGTACTAGTTGGTTACATTTTAATATAGGAACGAGTCTTGAAAAAGTTCTCGGATATTGAAGCTATCTATTGAAACATGTCATTATTTATAATTTAGGTGTATTTATTAAATTCAAGTACTCTCTAAATTTGGCTACAGTTGCGTAGTCGCATTCTCCACCTACGCCATGACGGTGTCATAGTGATTTTATTTACATTTCTTTCATTTACCTACTGGAACGGCTGAACAAACATGCAGGTTGTTTAATTTTTTATTTTAGTAGTAACTATTTTAAAGTATTTTGAAATTGAATTATTTAACACGCACAAGTAAGATGCATGTCTTCCTAAGTGTAGTTTAGATTTTATTACCTATTAATTATTATATACGAATTAGGGGTATCGTATTTAAAAAATATGGAGCAGTAAGGCCCGTATTATGAAATAATTAGATTCAAACTCAAGAAAAAATCCTGCCCAGTCTATCGATTGATTTACTATTGAAATTCAGTCATTCATAAAAGTATGTGCTTGAGAGAATCGAATTTTGAACATCGTTTCTTAATGCGGGTGAAAATGCTTTAAATCCAACATCACTGTCAAGTTGGGTTAAACTCAAAAGTATTCACGATTTGAAAGGCCAAATTAGAAATAGTAAAACTTAATCCAATTTCTAAACTAAATTAAGTGTAGGTATTATACGCAGCTGTATTTTTTATTTTTTAAGTTATTTTAAGATTATTTACTGCTGTATTTTGTAAATCGAGCAATATTTTTATTCAACTAAGGGCTGATTTTTCAATCGTCGGATAACTTTTAACTAAAGAATAAGTTTGGCACTCTGATAGTTTTATTATGGGAAATATGTCAAAATGACAAGGTTATTCTTCAGTTAAAAGATATCTGACGATTGAAAAATCGGCCCTAAAATGTTATGAACCAAAACCACGCCAAAATAGTGAAATGCATTTTTTTAAATATTTTAACTTACTTACATATTGTTCTAGAATTGATTTAAAACTTGCATTGTAATATTATCATTTGAAATTTTAAATATAAAATATTCCACTTTTGCCAGTGATATCTACCTAGATTTTATCTTATGTAAATGGTCATATTACTTGAAAAACGATATAAAAATATGTATTTATATTTTTGATAAATATGCATTAGCCCAACAAACATTAAAATAGACAATATTAATTTAAAAGGTATAGTAAAACAAATGTCCGGCTCATTTACTATTATTAGTGAGAAAAAGATAATAAATATTATAATGTGATACATAGTGAAGATAATTCATTTTTTTCTAAACAAATTTTTATAATCACTTAAAAAATCTGTCAATATTAATTTTACTGTGATAGCGTAAACCATTTCATTTAAGTTATAAATGACTGAACATATTTTTAAATAAAACAGTGTGTATTTTTTGTAATCGAATAAATATTTTATTTTGAGCGTTTCATTCACGTCGTTTTATTTGTCAGAAACTTATCTATTAACTTTCATCTTTCCTGTGAGTTGAAGAGTATAAAATGTGATAAATAAAACCAAGTTCAAGGTTGAAGAATTATTTATTTTATCATCATTATACATAGTTGTCACTTATCTCGCGTACAAAGCGACAAAAGCCTTTCATAGCTCAATTGACTTTGGCATGAAGTTACATTGTATTTGTGCAGCCGCGGGACGGGCGATGTTCACTCTACAAGCACTAACCAACCAACAAAGGAAAATTTTACCCTTCAAAAAGCAGGTTTGAGACCAGAAAATTTAGTTTCACTAACTTAGCACAGCCCACGGGGCGAGGATGTTAAATATTTTAGATGTTTTCTGTAAAAGCTGTAGTACAGTCGCGTAAGAAACGTTTTATCGAGTTTAATTCAATATTTCACATGCAAAGCTAAGATAGAAATCGTTTTTATATACATTTTCAATAATCTCAAGAGACCATAATAATACTTATAGTTATATAAATTACACGACTGTACTAAATCCGTAAAGCTTAACTAACTTTAGCAAAATTTCAATTGAGATTTAATTTTTGAGAACACCGTTTATAAAGATCTTGGATAGCAACTAAAACTAATCTAAATTATATGTACTGCATTTAAAACATCGAAATTTAAAAGTGTGTATAGCTCAATAATACAATACAAATCAAATATTCCCGCTATAATAAAAACAAAAAAATATAAACTATAATTACATAAAAATGAGTGAATGCTTTTTACACACATTACACATATAAAAAAAAACTTTAATGGACATTCATTATACTCATACATTCTTACACGTGATGAAAATCGACTTTACCAAAACGTAATGTAACAGAAACAAAAGTCTACACGTAAGACTATCAATATTACCTGTCTGTATCGTAATAATAATATTAGTGTAGCAAAATACCAATGAGAGCAATAGCTTCGGCTTGAAAATATAATTCCAATAAGTACTCGTAAAAACTAACTGCAATAGCGCTGTACGATGAATTAAAAGTACTAGTTACTTTTTAACAAATAAATAATATTATTAATCTATTCATTAATAAACCTAATAATCATATTATTCGCATAAGATCGAATATTTCATTTAGAATTTTATTAATTACAAGTGAGAGCAGGTTGGGCTCGTATTCGCCGGTAATACGAAGCAACCGGACGTTCTCGCGTCGGATTAATACTCAAGTCTCAAGTGTCACCCGGGACGTGTTTCAATTTACGTGAGAAAACAAGAAAATATAGTTCTTGCAACTCACGAAGGCGAGTGAGCTTTACTTGTGTGTGTACGTGTATATGCACATAACGATAGTGTAATGTCTATCAAAACTTGAAAAACGAACAGTAGCGAGCCACCACACATGTAAAGCTCACTCGTCTTCGTGAATTGCGACAACTATACAGTAACTATATCTACCCGACGGCTCGAACATCTATAATATTCCTATCGAAAGGTACATCACAATAAATACTATGACTACGATATTAGATTTGTAAGGAGAGTTCAGCGAGGCACGCCCGTGCGCAAGCGTCGGCGCGCTCGGGATCGCACGCGGCGATTATAGGCTAGGCTTACACGGTCGGCAAACCTATTCCCTGAATGGGCAAAAAAACGAGTTGAAAAAACCAGTAGATTTCAATTATGTACATAAGGAACAAACGATCTATTCCACTCCACTCACCTGGGTGATCAAAGTGGACTTCTTATTCATGGCTGATCAAAGGACACCAAAGTGTCGTCTGGAGTTCACTTTGATCACCTGGGTGATCAAAGTGGTATAGACCGTGATGTGCTATGCAAATCGACACGCTCCAATGTTTTAGTGAATCACGTCTTTACAGCAAACAATTTGATTGGTTTTGCTATGTACATTTCTCACTAGTGTCAATGTAGTGCTTGGTGTTCTTGTGTAAACCTAGCCTAACGTTTTACGTTCTACGGTAGCATAAGTACTCGAAACAAAAACTACTATGAAGTACGCGTTTGCCTTCAGAATTTCTGAGCTACATTAGTTAGACTTTCTAACTTCTCCAAAGGTGCGGCGTACTTAATGGTAGGCGGATTTACAGTGATTATGAAAGCTGTTTATGGAGTATTTTTTAACTAGGTAATGACTACATACATATCTTTTGATTATAACTAATTGTGCTAACCGACCAACCAAGTTGTTATAGTTAAAACAGTGCATTATTATAGACAGCCACAATATATACCAATATGCTTAACCCTAGCTTGGAAAGTTAAAGACGTTAATAAGTCTCGAATAGTTGACCAGGCCAGAAGAACGAGGCCATGCCACCAGCGACTTGGCGTATTGTCATGAGCTGTCAAACGCATCGTATCTATTGCTTTAGTTCTTTTTACACGTATGCATTAACCTAATCCGAACGACTCGATAATTTAATAAAATTGATTTTAAAGAAATTCGCAAATATTTTATCGTTTTGAAAATTTCCTATAGGAATGTCACGTGGCATGCCCAATGAAGCCAAGCTCGTCAAGTGACAAGTACTATCGCTTCGCCGGGCACGTGTTTACGTTACCGTAGATAGCTTGCGGTCGCGAGCGCTTCCGAGGCGGGGCTGTAGTGTTTGTAGAGCTAAGGCGCGGGGACGCGAGGCTATAACACCGAGGGAGGCACAGGGATATCGTTTCGGCGGAGCGCGTTGCGGAAAGCTTCGAGGGATGAGCGGAGAGTGAGGCAGAAGCCGCGGGAAGCGGGCACAAGGGGATAATCAGGAGGAGGCACGGGAGATGTGTTAGTCCCGGCGGATAGCGCCACTAGTCCTTCGAGCCGGAGACAGAGCGCAGCGGCGTTGGCGCGCATGTGCCGCAGGATCTCCTCGCGGAAAGGCTCCGGCGGGTTCATCACCATCTTGGTCATGGATTGGACGAGCTTCAAGAGAACCATCTCGTTGTACATGCGAGAGTTCTCCTTGCCTTGTTGGGTGCCTGGAATGAGCGAAACGAGCAAACTGAAGCATTACCGCAGTACATCTACAATAAGGTGGGTAATTGCGAATTATAATACATGAACGTAACTTACACCTAAGCAAACACATATCGCATGAATTATTCTATCGCTCATTAAATGCAAGATGGCCACAAAACAAAAAAATTCGGGAACCGTTTTATTGAAAAATAATGTCTTTAGGTCGAGGATCGAAGTTTAATTTTTGCGATAAAACTGTCTTCGTATTTTTTTGTTTGGTGGACGTGTTGCATATAATAAGCGTCTTGTCTCCGATAAGAAAGACTATTACACTTACACTGTCTTATAAATGCAGAACTGGGAGCATGATTTATAGTGTCGATCAAAATAGATCCAAACGCATGTGTTACTTTTGTTTCCGAAAAGATAGAAAATTGCACTGTTTCATAAATGCAGGACTGGGAAACTGGGAACACATAGTGTAGATGACAATAGATCTAAAAGTCGTATTGAAACTCACCCTTCTGCTTCTCGTAGCCGGCTTCATTGAAGTAGGGCTCGGCGTTGAGGATGAGTCCTTGGAGCGACACGATGACCTGCAGCAGAGAGCTGTCCTTGCCCCAAACTTCTACGCCGCGGCCTGACCACGTGCCAAGCAGCGACACGCACACCTGAGCATGGAAAAAGAACATTAAAATATGCTGTTGATGTCACTAAAATTTCTAAAACAACCCACATTCTGACAGATCATGAAGTGTATCGCCTCGTGTCCTCGGCCTACGTCGGAGCATTGATGCGAAGAGCGTGATTTTTTCATAGCGGCAGCCTGTCAGGGCCGTCCACTTAGTTTGCCGTGCCTTCTTATCATCGAGAAACCGTTTACTTAACTTGTAGACAGATAACTAGGAAATTGAAAACAAAAGATATAACATTTGGTTATCGGACGGCTGAAGACTGAGAGCTAGCTGAAAAAAAAGAGACTGAAGCATCTGACTAGCTGAAAATAGAAGACTGGAACATCTAGCTAGATGAAAATAGACTGGAGCTTCTGGTAAGCTGAAAACCAATTAAAAGACTGGAACACCTGGATAGCTGAAAACAAATTCAAGCACCTGGATAGCTGTAAACAGAAGTTTGTATCATCTGCCTAGCCCTGTAGGGTTCTTGGTTCTCACCTTCCCGTCTTCATACAAATTGGGATTCAATCGGTCGCTGCAGTAGGAGTGGTAGTGGCAGAGCGGCGGCGCGCGCGGGTACTCGCCGCCCAGCTGCACGTCGAACACAAACAGCCCGCCTTCGTACGGAGTCTTCTCGGGACGAACACAAATAGACTAGAGGGGCTCGCTGAATACATGGCAGCCTGGAGCGTCTAGATAGCTGAAGACAAGAAGACTGGAGCATGTGGCTAGATGAAGACAAGAGACTGGAGCATGTGGCTAGCTCAAGAGACTGGAGCATATGGCTAGCTGAAGATAGAGAGACTGGAGCATGTGGCTAGCTGACAACAAGAGACTGGAGCATCTGGATAGCTGTTAACAAAAGACTGGAGCTTCTAGCTGGCTGTAAACAGAACACTATATCATCTGGCTAGCTATGTAGGGGTCTCACCTTCCCGTCTTCATAGAGGTTAGGATTCAATCGGTCGCTGCAGTAGGAGTGGTAGTGGCAGAGCGGCGGCGCGCGCGGGTACTCGCCGCCCAACTGCACGTCGAACACAAACAGCCCGCCTTCGTACGGAGTCTTCTCGGGGCCGGCGATCATGACCGATAGTAGGTCGATGCGGTCCTCGAAAGCTCGCACCCACACCTGGGAAGATAATGAGAAGAGGGGTTAGTGAATTCCAAAGACACGATGCGCACGTAAATAACTAACAACGCGCACGTAACAAATTACACATTTTTAGCTGCAGCATAGATGGAAGCGGTGCCCAATGGTCTCTAAAGCCTGGTCCGTGAGCACGTAGAATCCCGTCCAATGACCCCAAGCTACCCATCCTTATCGCTCGCGCGGACCAGGCTTTAGTACTCTAGTACTTACCTGGGGGAAGACGAAGTGTTGGCATGACGCCTAATAGGTACCCCCGGCAATCTGGTGAAGGTCACTGGAAGCATAATGGATACGGGCTATGCAGGATCGGTCCTTGTGGAAATCCTTAAGGGGGACCTTTGTCCGACTGAGAACGTCATTTACCTGAAACGAATGAACGAACTTACTCCAGGAGGCAGGTCGCTTTTGAGCAGCTTGATCTCGCGCTTGACGGCGGAGTAGAAGCTCCTAGGTTCTGAGGGCTGCAGCATGGACAGGTGGAAGCGATGCGCGATGGTCTCTTAGTGACAGGACTAAAGTATCAGACTGATACTTACTCCAGGAGGTAAGTCACTCTTGAGCAGTTTGATCTCGCGCTTGACGGCGGAGTAGAAGCTCCTCGGTTCTGAGGGCTGCAGCATGGACAGATGGAAGCGATGCGCAATGGGCGCAGACTCAAGTACGCAGAAGCCTTCGCCCTCGGCCTCTGGGTCGGCGGCGGATTCCGCCTCCGCATCAAGCTCGGAGCCCTCGGCCGTAGCTAGGGGCGCCGTTTCAGTTGCTGGAGCTGTAATGTTAGAGAATACTTTATTTCATTATTTGATTTTGATTTCATTTACAATCAGAGGTGGAATTGTGTAAAGCAATCGTAATCATTTGTCAGTTCATAACGTACGATTATTCTGTCAAACGCTTTGTTTAACTGACTTTATCGTACGTTATTAACTGTCAAATGATTACGATTGCTTTACACAATTCCACCTCAGATAGTTTGGAATTCCAGTGAATTTTGAACTTTGTCTATCTCGTCAGCGTAATGTTTCTGATTGTACAATCCTTCATGCTTTGCAAATGCAAAGAAATAAAATAGATACCGTCATAATTACATTTAAAACCTGATGATTTTAAAAACTGATAATTTTCCCCATTTTGCTGGAACTATAGCTGGAAAGTAGAAAAAAACCAATGTTTATTCAATTTCTCTTAAGATTTTTCTTTTGGTATTTGACCACAATCGCACCTGGTGTTAAGTGGGATGCAATTAAGGATGGTACATAATAGCATAAATGAGCAGAACGCTGGATGCAGACCGCTACTAATCTGTCATTATGGAAATCATTGGGGGAGGTCTATATTCAGCAGTGAAATTATGAAGAAGAACTTTAAGATTGATAAATAATAATAATAATAAATAATAAACAATAACTTTATTGTGTCTTTAACAATGCTCATGGTATCTTAACGAAAAAATTACATTTAACAATAGGAGCTGTATTAAGATAGGGATCATTAACGTCTATACTAGTTACATTTAAACTGTGTGACAGACGCTAATTCTTCCACCAATTTAATTTCACAGTTGTAATTTAGTTTATGATGCCAAACACAATTTTAATTAAGTACTATAGCTTTGGTAAATAGGTACCTACTTGTGAGTGTCGTGTGTGTGTGTGTGTGTGTGTGTGTGTGTGTGTGTGTGTGTGTGTGTGAGTGAGAGAGAGAGAGAGAGTGTGTGTGTGTGTAAGAGAGAGTAGAATATGTATTTGAAATTGTACGTACGTGTGCAGTGCATATTAAAACAAGTGAGTGTGTAAGAGAGAAAGAAGGAAAGAAAGAAATAAATACAATGTTTACGAACCATTCCCCTCTGCGTTAGCAGCCGTGGTTGTGGTGACGTCCTTGACATCACCGGTCGTCTTGGCGCCCTCGCCCTTTTCGTCTTGGTCAGCCATGCTCACCACCAGCGCACCGTATTGACTGCATTCGTTAAGCGGACATTTTAAAACCATGCATATTTAGAAAAGTTTATAAGGCTGCGATTCCACCAGAGCTGTGCAGTGCGTACGCACTTAAACCAATGCGATTATTCCTCGCTCGACCTTGTTATACCTCAGCTACACTACTCGCGAAGTTGGTCGAATTTAGTCGAAGTACTTCACTTCGCTTCAAGCAACTTAGCGCTCGACTTTCCATTGTTGTCGATAAAGTACCCGCGTCAAAGGGCCCGAATCGTTTTGGAATACGAAGTGTCTTACTACTCCACTCGGCTAACTTCGGTACTTCGGCGAATCGAGTATAACTGAGGTATTTGATGAAGAAGAGGTCAACGGAGCGAGGTCTTCGAACATTCAAAGCAAGCAAGAGATGTGTGCCAGAGTTCCATGCTGTTTGTGAGGAGCAGTGTGGCAATTTCAGAAGATTCTTCGCACACATTAATCCGCCAAATATCCTAGCATTTGACATATTTTTCGCACAGCATTCATGGAAGAGATAAAGCGATGCACTGATTTCCTCGCACTGTTCATGTATCACACGTCTTTGGTGGAAACGCAGCCTTATGCAATTTGCAGTGCGAGAGAATGCAGTTACGTTGGTATAAGAATAAAGAACGTATAGATTTCGGGAAGAAGAAAGTTCAAAATATCGACGAATTTATACGATTTATATTTTCCCCGAGCTTGTGGCACTTTTTTTTTTATGAATTTTCGTATTTGTTTTGAAGATATTATCTGTACTAAAGATTGGCGATCAACGTCAAAAACTAGCGTCATCTTTTAGTTATTACCGAGAAATGGACTGATAATTAATCTAACAGTCTATTTTTAAACCCTAATATCGTTTACGTGAGTAAATTACGTAACTTGTATTCTGTCGCACTTAATAAGAACGAACACTTCAGGTTATTGTATAACATTTACTTGCATGGCGAAGTTAGTATGAGATAGAACAAGATTGCTGAAGTTGGGTTAATTACAACATAAGCTAGGAATACATATGACAGACATCGTACCGATCACACTATGACAATACCATGCACAGAGTAATAGTTACATCTTATGGGGGCTATGTTACAGAAACAACAGTTCACGCAAACTTACATTAAACAAACTATCAAGAAACTAATCAAATTAACTTTACAGACATATCACAAAATCTTTCAGGAAACAGAGAAATTAGGTTACCACTTTAACAGAGTCATCTACTAGATAAATAAATAGTTTAAATAATCAAAACGAAAAGATTAACTAACACTGTAGAACCAACAGATTGAAAAAGCAAATAAATAACTATACCAGGCCCGGAATGGCACCCTTTTAAAGATAAGAAATTTAATTTCATATTACTCCAGTAACTATGGATGCACAATATGAATATTAAACTAAAACCCAATAGAAACTACTTAACGTTGCCACAGTGTAGTCTGTTTATAAGATGACACAAAATGACATGAAAAATAAATACAAAATAATATAAAACTGTATTTTGGTGAAACGAAGAAGTTATCACTTTGTTTAATATAAGTGTTGCGAGTTATTTCGCTAGTAACAAATATTACCATGAGTGTTTTTTTATTAGGATGATTTTGTACCCCACAGTGTAAGCGATCATACAGATATAATAAATTATGCTAGGTCATTAAATTATGTACACATACAAACCCAACATAATATTAGAGGATTAGATTTGCAAGGAAGGGGTAACATGAAGTGTGGTCCTATTCACATTTATAAAAAAGTGAGCGTGATGAAATGAGAAAGAAATATTAAAATAAAAGCAAATAAGTAAAACAAATAAAAATTTTGTACATGTGTGGAAAAAGATAATTTTTACCGTCATCTTTTGATAGGAGCTTTTCAAAAAAAGTAAAAATTGATTCATTTTCACTTGTCACATGAAGATCCCCAAGAAATAGTATTAGGAAAGATTTCAACTCATCTCTCGAATGAAATTATGGAACATTATAAAGTTTAGTTCCTAATCAGATGGGATAATGCAACACATGTACAAAATTCTACAACGAATATTAACATATAATGGTTGATGGTGGAAGCAAAATAAAATGTAGGCTCACACTGAAAAGTGGTAGGGTAACTTCTCTCCGGGCGCGTTTTGTATTCTCATTAAGCTGTTTAGGAATTCGGCCAGCTCTTGCGGCCTTCTCCTGTGAATATAAACGAACACCCTGTATTTATTGTCTCTAACTAAGGGTCAGTCTTGTACTCATCATATTTTGCTTTCGAATCTGTAGAAAAAAAACTTGAAGAAGTAAAATGAAACCTATTTGTCTCTAACTAGGGTTCCGTCTTGTACTCGACATTTATTTTGTTTACAAATCTGAAGAAAAACAGTTAAAGTAAAACACTTAAACTTTGGGACGTGCTGCTATGCAATCTTTGCAAATGGTATCACAGTATGTTCTGTGCACTTTGCCAGGAATCTGTGATGATGAAATTTTGAATTTGCTAGTTCAACTATGTGTAATGATACAAAACAAAAAATACTAGCATACTGTGTGTAACTAACTGATTAAGAAAATCATTGCTGGTTCTGTTTTATAAACTTGTCGCACCAATATTATAGTGGCATAGATCTTTTGCCCATATGCTACTTATGTGTCGAAGTATTGGGGCATAAATACACAATCCAATCGCGATCTTATTTCTGAGAAATTGCAATGGGCGGAGGAGATCTTCCAGTAACTGATCTGTGTTTGCCTCATAGTTATCACTCCAAGAATTAATGATAGCCCATTCAATATTATATGAACATAATTATCAAGTTTTTTTTACATTTAAGAATTACTTTTCTAGTCCTAGGAAAAGCATTCAAATAACTTTATTGTGTCTTTAACAATGCTCATGGTATCTTCACGAAAAAATTACATTTAATAATAGGGGCTGTATTAAGATAGGGATCATTAACGTCTATACTAGTTACATTTAAATATTTATAAGATAAAAAGAAATAGTGACGTCACATTGTTCTCCCCAATTTAATTCTGAAGAGGCCATCGTTTACACATAATATAATATCATTAAACGTACATCAGTATCAGTTAGTCACCATGTCTATTATAAGCAGCAATATCACTCGTGTTACTGACACCTAACATCTCCTAGCCACGCCTACGTCTGTAAAGATATACGCGAGCTTTCATGTGTGTGTGACCACTTATGTGTGTGCGACTTACCGGCTAACTTCGGCGTGCGCTTTGACGAGCTGCGAGTGAATGAGCGCGCACAGTTTGTAGCACACGTTGCGAGCGGTGCCGTCTACATCGGCTGACTCAGTGGACGCTGCAAGAATAATAAAGGTAAATAAAATAAATAGATTTGAGACATTTCATACAGCGCCATCTAGAGTCAAACTGAGCAAAGCTTGTTCTTATGTCATTTAGTTATAAGTTGAAAAGGAATAAGATCAAGAAATTATTAATTAACTAGCGGCCGTCCGCGACTTCGTACACGTGGACCCCGTTTTACTCCCTAGGGGTGAAGTTTCGAGTATTTTTTAGGGTTTCCCCGGAAATTATTCGAACTTTTCTCGCCGTAAAAACCATCCTTGGACTTCAACGAACATTAAAAAAAAAGAATTGGTAAAATTGGACCAGGCGTTGTTGAATTATGCGCGTAAAACTCATATTTCGATTCATTTTTATATTAAGGCTTGGTATTTCTGCTAAAGTAGGTATTTCGCGCTGTCAAAATCTGCGCGCGCAATACTTCGCCGAAGACAGCGCGCCAAAGAGCTCTCGCGGCTACACAGTATAGAAATACGCACTTAGAAATACGCAGTTGGTTAGGTTAGGTTGACTACCTTCCGTTCAAGCGTCACACTCACAGCACTTTCTAATACAAATCATATCCAAGTGATACAAATTAAAACAACTTTCCAAAATTTTTGGGAATATATTTTAGAATCGAATAAATATGGAATATAACTGCCAAAGTAAACACGGTTCAAAGAGGCGTGGCGTCACCCGACCTTCCGGAAGTTCCGCGCGGGCTAAAAGAATTTCAAGATTACGTCACCCGACCTATCGGTAGATCCTCGGGAGCTTGAGCGATTGGAAAAACATTTTATGATCAGTTACTCGTAGTAGCGATTATTTAGAGCTTGGATAATAAATTATAGTTGTTGCAATTCACAAAGCTTTGCATGTGGTTAATTGCATTAATCAGTACATGCATCAATTTTGTTCAGTCTTTTTGTTTATTAATAAATAAAAATATATTTAGAATCTCAAATCGCTTATTTTAAAAATAAAACCATAAATAGAAAACGAATAGAGGTAACTTTGGGAATTTATTCTATCGAGTCAACTTCATCAAATCGTGTTTCCATCCGTTAATAGCCCTAGAAAATATCCTCAACTATGCCCAATAAAAATCTTAGCCTTTAATTTTACTGTTTAGTACCTCAAAAATGAAAAATGAAAACCTCATTTTCGCCATTTTCTCTGCTACCCGGCCTTAAAGATAAATTAAATGAAGCAATGGAAATGAACTGTTGGCAGCAGTCAAAGAAAGAAGGGTGTCTAAAAATACATAAATTGACTCACGGTTCTCGCCGACGGCGTTTTCTTGAACAACATTAGCCTCCGATCCCGATGCCTGCACGGGATCTATGTTCAAGTGTAGTTGCTTCTTGGGAGTGAGAGGTTCAACCTGAAAAGAAATAGATAATGTGAGTACTGTGTTCGCCTCAACTCGTGCTAGGCGCCCTGCTAGCCTAAGAGTAGGCGCACACCGTTGATTTTTAGTTGGCCGATAGTTGTGCCCAATTTTAAATTGTATGAAGAATCGGCCAAATCGAATCGGCGTAGTGTGCGCACTCCCATACATGCCCATTCTGATCAACTGCCCGACTAAACTATCGGCCGACGAAAAATCAACGGTGTGCGCCTACTCTAAAAGTGCGTCGACACCGGGCGCATGAGCTCGCGATACACGTTCGACATCCTGCATGCTCTACTATTGAGTGCTCGACATTCTGTTCTAGACATTTCGTTGCGCGCTTATCGAGGTTGTAGATTTTAGACGATAAGCCCATACATTTGTCGTCTTAATTCGACGACGATAATATCGCATCCTAAGCCTAAGCTAAGGCTGTACTCACCTCCATGGGCTCGACGGTGACGTTAGCACTAATGATGGCCTGCGGCTGAAGCGCCTCGCGCTCATCATCCACCAGCATCGCATCCAAGGCCTGCCTCTGGCGCGGGATCATGCGGAGCTACAGTCGCGCTAGTTATGTGCTACTGCGCTATAGTGCGCTGTGTGACATGGTGCTAATCGCGCTAGTTACTCTATACGCTACTCACCTCCATGGGCTCCACGGTGACGTTAGCACTAATGATGGCCTGCGGCTGCAGCGCCTCACGCTCATCATCCACCAGCATCGCACCCAAGGCAGCTGCCTCTGGCGCGGGATCATACGGCGCTACAGTCGCGCTAGTTATGTGCTACTGCGCTATAGTGCGCTGTGTGACATGGTGCTAATCGCGCTAGCTACTCTACGCCACTCACCTCCATGGGCTCCACGGTGACATTGGCGCTAATGATGGCCTGCGGCTGCAGCGCCTCGCGCTCGTCATCAACCAGCATCGCGTCCAAGGCAGCTGCCTCGGGCGGGAACAATCGCGCCAGTTGTGTGACAGCTGGCTATAGTCACTCTAGTTGTGTGACAGCGCGCTACAGTCACTTCAGCTGTGTTCCAGGGTGCTTATCGATCAAGCTGCTCTACGCCACTCACCTCCATGGGCTCGACGGTGACATTGGCGCTAATGATAGCTTGCGGCTGTAGTGCCTCACGCTCATCATCAACCAGCATCGCATCCAAGGCAGCTGCCTCTGGCGCGGGATCATGCGGCGCTACAGTCGCGCCAGTTATGTGCTACTGAGTTACAGTCACGCCACTCACCTCCATGGGCTCGAAGGTGACATTGGCGCTGATGATGCTCATCATCAACTAGCATCGCATCCACCGCGGCTGCTTCAGGCGCGGGATCGTGCGCGCTATAGTTGCGCTAGCTGTGTTTCGGCGCCCTACAGTCACTCTAGCTGTGTACCAGCGAGCTAGTCACTCTAGCTTAGCCAGGTTGCTTATCGCGGTAGCTACCGAAGAATAGCTAGCGCGATGAGTATTCTGGTCTGGCGTAGGCCACTCACCTCCATGGGCTCCACGGTGACATTGGCGCTAATGATGGCCTGCGGCTGTAGTGCCTCACGCTCATCATCCACCAGCATCGCATCCAAAGCAGCTGCCTCTGGCGCGGGATCGTGCGGCGCGAACAATCGCGCCAGATGTGTGACAGCTGGCTATAGTCACTCTAGTTGTGTGACAGCGCGCTACAGTCACTTCAGCTGTGTTCCAGGGTGCTTATCGATCAAGCTGCTCTATGCCACTCACCTCCATGGGCTCGACGGTGACGTTAGCACTAATGATGGTCTGCGGCTGTAGCGCCTCGCGCTCATCATCAACCAGCATCGCATCCAGCGCGGCTGCTTCGGGCGTGGGATCGTGCGCGCTATAGTTGCGCTAGCTGTGTAGCTATAGTTTCGGCGCCCTACAGTCACTCTAGCTGTGTACCAGCGAGCTAGTCATTCAAGCTTAGCCAGGTTGCTCATCGCGCTAGCTATTCTTCGGTAGCTAGTGCGATGAGCACCCAGGTCTGGCGTAGGCCACTCACCTCCATGGGCTCGACGGTGACGTTAGCACTGATGATGGCTTGCGGCTGCAGCGCCTCACGCTCATCATCCACCAGCATCGCATCCAAGGCAGCTGCCTCTGGCGCGGCATCGTGCGGCGCGAACAATCGCGCCAGATGTGTGACAGCGCGCTACAATCGCGTCAGCTGTGTGCCGTCGCGCTAATCGCGCTAGCTACTCTACGCCACTCACCTCCATGGGCTCGACGGTAACGTTAGCGCTAATGATGGCCTGCGGCTGCAGCGCCTCACGCTCATCATCCACCAGCATCGCATCCAAGGCAGCTGCCTCTGGCGCGGGATCATACGGCGCTACAGTCGCGCTAGTTATGTGCTACTGCGCTATAGTGCGCTGTGTGACATGGTGCTAATCGCGCTAGCTACTCTACGCCACTCACCTCCATGGGCTCCACGGTGACATTGGCGCTAATGATAGCTTGCGGCTGTAGTGCCTCGCGCTCATCATCAACCAGCATCGCATCCAAGGCAGCTGCCTCTGGCGCGGGATCGTGCGGCGCTACAGTCGCGCTAGTTATGTGCTACTGCGTTACAGTCACGCCACTCACCTCCATGGGCTCCACGGTGAAATTGGCGCTGATGATGCTCATCATCAACTAGCATCGCATCCACCGCGGCTGCTTCGGGCGCGGGATCGTGCGCGCTATAGTTGCGCTAGCTGTGTTTCAGCGCCCTACAGTCACTCTAGCTGTGTACCAGTGAGCTACAGTCACTCTAGCTTAGCCAGGTTGCTCATCGAGCTAGCTATTCTTCGGTAGCTAGTGCGATGAGCACCCTGGCCTGGCGTAGGCCACTCACCTCCATAGGCTCGACGGTGACATTAGCGCTGATGATGGCCGCCTCGCGTTCGTCATCCACCAGCATCGCATCCAAGGCAGCTGCCTCGGGCGCGGGGTCGTGCGGCGCGAACAATCGCGCCAGTTGTGTGACAGCTGGCTATAGTCACTCTAGCTGTATGCCCGGCGCGTTACAGTCTACGCCAATCACCTCCATGGGCTCCACGGTGACATTGGCGCTAATGATGGCCTGCGGCTGTAGTGCCTCACGCTCGTCATCCACCAGCATCGCATCCAAGGCAGCTGCCTCGGGCGCGGGATCATGCGGCGCGAACAATCACGCCAGTTGTGTGACAGCTGGCTATAGTCACTCTAGCTGTGTGACGGCGCGCTACAGTCACTCTAGCTTAGCCAGGTTGCTCATCGCGCTAACTACCGAAGAATAGGTAGCGCGATGAGCACCCTGGCCTGGCGTAGGCCACTCACCTCCATAGGCTCGACGGTGACATTAGCGCTGATGATGGCCGCCTCGCGTTCGTCATCCACCAGCATCGCGTCCAAGGCAGCTGCCTCTGGCGCGGGATCGTGCGGCGCTACAGTCACTCCAGCTGTGTGACAGCGCGCTACATTCGCGCCAGCTGTGTGCCGTCGCGCTAATCGCGCTAGCTACTCTACGCCCTCACCTCCATAGGCTCGACGGTGACATTAGCGCTAATGATGGCCTGCGGCTGTAGTGCCTCACGCTCATCATCCACCAGCATCGCATCCAAGGCAGCTGCCTCTGGCGCGGGATCGTGCGGCGCTACAGTCACTTCAGCTGTGTGACAGCGCGCTACAATCGCTCCAGCTGTATGCCCGGCGCGTTACAGTCTACGCCACTCACCTACATGGGCTCCACGGTGACGTTAGCACTAATGATGGCCTGCGGCTGCAGCGCCTCACGCTCATCATCCACCAGCATCGCATCCAAGGCAGCTGCCTCTGGCGCGGGATCGTGCGGCGCGAACAATCTCGCCAGCTGTGTGACAGCTGGCTATAGTCACTCTAGTTGTGTGACAGCGCGCTACAGTCACTTCAGCTGTGTTCCAGGGTGCTTATCGATCAAGCTGCTCTACGCCACTCACCTCCATGGGCTCCACGGTGACATTGGCGCTAATGATGGCCTGCGGCTGCAGCGCCTCGCGCTCATCATCAACCAGCATCGCATCCAAAGCAGCTGCCTCTGGCGCGGGATCGTGCGGCGCGAACAATCGCGCCAGTTGTGTGACAGCTGGCTATAGTCACTCTAGTTGTGTGACAGCGCGCTACAGTCACTTCAGCTGTGTTCCAGGGTGCTTATCGATCAAGCTGCTCTACGCCACTTACCTCCATGGGCTCGACGGTGACGTTAGCACTAATGATGGCCTGCGGCTGTAGTGCCTCACGCTCATCATCCACGAGCATCGCATCCAAAGCAGCTGCCTCGGGCGCGGGATCATACGGCGCTACAGTCGCGCTAGTTATGTGCTACTGCGTTACAGTCACGCTACTCACCTCCATGGGCTCGGCGGTGACGTTGGCGCTGATGATGTTAATCATCAACCAGCGTTGCATCCAGCGCGGCTGCTTCGGGCGTGGGATCGTGCGCGCTATAGTTGCGCTAGCTGTGTAGCTATAGTTTCGGCGCCCTACAGTCACTAGCTGTGTACCAGCGAGCTAGTCATTCAAGCTTAGCCAGGTTGCTCATCGCGCTAGCTATTCTTCGGTAGCTAGTGCGATGAGCACCCAGGTCTGGCGTAGGCCACTCACCTCCATGGGCTCGACGGTGACGTTAGCACTGATGATGGCTTGCGGCTGCAGCGCCTCACGCTCATCATCAACCAGCATCGCATCCAAAGCAGCTGCCTCTGGCGCGGGATCATGCGGCGCTACAGTCGCGCTAGTTATGTGCTACTGCGCTATAGTGCGCTGTGTGACATGGTGCTAATCGCGCTAGCTACTCTACGCCACTCACCTCCATGGGCTCCACGGTGACATTGGCGCTAATGATAGCTTGCGGCTGCAGCGCCTCGCGCTCATCATCCACCAGCATCGCATCCAAAGCAGCTGCCTCTGGCGCGGGATCGTGCGGCGCTACAGTCACTCCAGCTGTGTGACAGCGCGCTACAATCGCTCCAGCTGTATGCCCGGCGCGTTACAGTCTACGCCACTCACCTCCATGGGCTCCACGGTGACATTGGCGCTAATGATAGCTTGCGGCTGTAGTGCCTCACGCTCATCATCCACCAGCATCGCATCCGAGGCAGCTGCCTCTGGCGCGGGATCGTGCGGCGCTACAGTCGCGCCAGTTATGTGTTACTGCGTTACAGTCACGCTACTCACCTCCATGGGCTCGAAGGTGACGTTAGCGCTGATGATGCTCATCATCAAACAGCATCGCATCCAGCGGGGCTGCTTCGGGCGTGGGATCGTGCGCGCTATAGTTGCGCTAGCTGTGTAGCTATAGTTTCGGCGCCCTACAGTCACTCTAGCTGTGTACCAGCGAGCTAGTCATTCAAGCTTAGCCAGGTTGCTCATCGCGCTAGCTATTCTTCGGTAGCTAGTGCGATGAGCACCCAGGTCTGGCGTAGGCCACTCACCTCCATGGGCTCGACGGTGACGTTAGCACTGATGATGGCTTGCGGCTGCAGCGCCTCACGCTCATCATCAACCAGCATCGCATCCAAAGCAGCTGCCTCTGGCGCGGGATCATGTGGCGCTACAGTCGCGCTAGTTATGTGCTACTGCGCTATAGTGCGCTGTGTGACATGGTGCTAATCGCGCTAGCTACTCTACGCCACTCACCTCCATGGGCTCCACGGTGACATTGGCGCTAATGATAGCTTGCGGCTGTAGTGCCTCGCGCTCGTCATCAACCAGCATCGCATCCAAAGCAGCTGCCTCTGGCGTGGGATCGTGCGGCGCGAACAATCGCGCCAGATGTGTGACAGCTGGCTATAGTCACTCTAGTTGTGTGACAGCACGCTACAGTCACTTCAGCTGTGTTCCAGGGTGCTTATCGATCAAGCTGCTCTACGCCACTCACCTCCATGGGCTCCACGGTGACATTGGCGCTAATGATGGCCTGCGGCTGCAGCGCCTCGCGCTCATCATCCACCAGCATCGCATCCAAAGCAGCTGCCTCTGGCGCGGGATCGTGCGGCGCTACAGTCACTCCAGCTGTGTGACAGCGCGCTACAATCGCTCCAGCTGTATGCCCGGCGCGTTACAGTCTACGCCACTCACCTCCATGGGCTCGACGGTGACATTGGCGCTAATGATAGCTTGCGGCTGTAGTGCCTCACGCTCATCATCAACCAGCATCGCATCCAAGGCAGCTGCCTCTGGCGTGGGATCATGCGGCGCTACAGTCACTCCAGATGTGTGACAGCGCGCTACAATCGCTCCAGCTGTATGCCCGGCGCGTTACAGTCTACGCCACTCACCTCCATGGGCTCCACGGTGACATTAGCACTGATGATAGCTTGCGGCTGTAGTGCCTCACGCTCGTCATCAACCAGCATCGCATCCAAGGCAGCTGCCTCTGGCGTGGGATCATGCGGAGCTACAGTCGCGCTAGTTATGTACAGTCGCGCTAGTTGCACAGTCACGCCACTCACCTCCATGGGCTCGAAGGTGACATTGGCGCTGATGATGCTCATCATCAACTAGCATCGCATCCACCGCGGCTGCTTCAGGCGCGGGATCGTGCGCGCTATAGTTGCGCTAGCTGTGTTTCGGCGCCCTACAGTCACTATAGCTGTGTAACCAGTAAGCTACAGTTACTCTAGCTTAGCCAGGTTGCTCATCGAGATAGCTATTCTTCGGTAGCTAGTGCGATGAGCACCCAGGTCTGGCGTAGGCCACTCACCTCCATGGGCTCGACGGTGACGTTAGCACTAATGATGGCCTGCGGCTGCAGCGCCTCACGCTCATCATCAACCAGCATCGCATCCAAAGCAGCTGCCTCTGGCGTGGGATCGTGCGGCGCGAACAATCTCGCCAGCTGTGTGACAGCTGGCTATAGTCACTCTAGCTGTGTGACGGCGCGCTACAGTCACTCTAGCTTAGCCAGGTTGGTCATCGCGCTAACTACCGAAGAATAGGTAGCGCGATGAGCACCCTGGCCTGGCGTAGGCCACTCACCTCCATGGGCTCGACGGTGACATTAGCGCTGAAGATGGCCGCCTCGCGTTCGTCATCCACCAGCATCGCGTTCAAGGCAGCTGCCTCGAGCGCGGGATGGTGCACGCTATAGTCACTCCAGCTGTGTGACAGCGCGCTACAATCGCGCCAGCTGTGTGCCGTCGCGCTAATCGCGCTAGCTACTCTATGCCACTCACCTCCATGGGCTCCACGGTGACATTAGCACTGATGATGGCTTGCGGCTGTAGTGCCTCACGCTCGTCATCAACCAGCATAGCATCCAAGGCAGCTGCCTCTGGCGCAGGATCGTGCGGCGCGAACAATCTCGCTAATTGTTCGTGCACGCGCCGCTCGCCCGCACGCGGCGTGCTCGCGCCGCGCTCGCGAACGCGCTCTAACAAACCCTGCAAGAAACAAACCTATATTCGAATTTGCTTACACAATTCGCGCTCGTTTCAGAAACTAAAAAGGAATGAACTAAAAATGATAAAATGGTTATGTGCGTACCAAAAAGTGATCCTCGTGGAAGAAAGACGTGCCCATTAGCCGATCCAGGAATCGGCAGTCCTTGTACAAGTTGAGGAGCTTGCGCATGATCTAGAAAAAAAAAAGACAAAATTATGAGTTTATTTATTTTATTTATTAGGACAACCAACAAGAAAAACACGCATACATGTTGATCTTTGATCATGTTGAACATGAGTTGACCTTTATAATAAATAAATCTTTTATAAATCTTTGTAATACCTAAACTAGCTGATAAAAGTCGCAAAATGAAGGATTTTATTTCGAAGTCGCCGGGACGGATTAGGAAAATACATGAGAGCGTGAGCGTGAGCGAACGCACCTCATTTTGTACACTATCGTGTCTGTGTATGAAGGTAAGACACTGTCTGGGTACAGTGTACAAAATGGTTGCGTTCACAAGTATTTAATTACAAATACATACATTAAGAATGCGTTCAATTTCCATCATAAAATATTGTTTGATGTGAATTTCTCTTGCTTGACTTGTGAAATCTAATAACGAACTAACCTCCTGGCTTTGCAGCGTGGGATGCTTCGCGAACATTTCTTCCAAACGTCTCATGGCCACGCGTCCCCGATCTGCACGCTCGCACACTCACTGCGGGCGCCCGTCGCACAGTCGCGACAGCAATATAATTACGCGCGAGCGATAAGGATGGGTAGCTTGGGGTCATTGGACAAAATTGTACGTGCTCGCAGACCGGGCTTTAATAATAAACTGACCTCCTGGCTTTGCAGCGTGGGATGCTTCGCGAACATTTCTTCCAAACGTTTCATGGCCACGCGTCCTCTCTCGATGTGAGCCGCGACCCTCGGCTCCAATAGTTTCGGCACCACCGCCGGCGCCGACGCATCTGTAGCGTTGGCAGCGCCCGGGCTGCTCGTCACCGCCATATTGTTCACAAGCACCCTTAGGGGTGGAGTTTCGTAAAATCCTTTCTTAGCGGATGCCTACGTCATAACATCTACCAGCATGCCAAATTTCAGCCCGATCCGTCCAGTGGTTTAAGCTGTGAGTTGATAGATCACCATGTCAGTCAGTCACCTTTGAGTTACATATTTAGATGGCCGCTTCCACTGGCGGATTCACGAACACTAGGAAAATTCACGAACACTAGGAAAATTCACGAACACTAGGAAAACACCGGCCTTAACTGACCTCCTGGCTTTGCAGCGTGGGATGCTTCGCGAACATTTCTTCCAAACGTCTCATGGCCACGCGTCCCCGCTCGATGTGAGCCGCGACCCTCGGCTCCAGTAGTTTCTTTCGGCACCGCCGCGGGTGTAGACGCATCTGTAGCGTTGGCGGCGTCCAGGCTGCTCGTCACCGCCATATTGTTCACTAGCGGCCGCCCGCGACTTCGTACGCGTGAATCCCGTTTTACCCCCTTAGGGGTGGAGTTTTGTAAAATCCTTTCTTAGCGGATGCCTACGTCATAACATCTACCTGCATGCCAAATTTCAGCCCGATCCGTCCAGAGGTTTGGGCCGTGCGTTGATAGATCTGCACGCTCGCACACTCACTGCGGGCGCCCGTCGCACAGTCGCGACAGCAATATAATTACGCGCGAGCGATAAGCATGGGCAGCTCGGGGTCATTGGACAAAATTGTACGTGCTCGCAGACCGGGCTTTAATAATAAACTGACCTCCTGGCTTTGCAGCGTGGGATGCTTCGCGAACATTTCTTCCAAACGTCTCATGGCCACGCGTCCCCGCTCGATGTGAGCCGCGACCCTCGGCTCTAATAGTTTCGGCACCACCGCCGGCGCCGACGCATCTGCAGCGTTGGCGGCGCCCGGGCTACTCGTCACCGCCATGTTGTTCATGGCCGCTTCCACCGGCGGATTCACGAATACTAGGAAAGCACCCGCCTCTGGAAAAGTCGAATGGATATAGTGTTAAAAAACGAGGTTCAGGCTAGCAATAAAACTTGCGTTTATTGCCCTATACTACGTATGTTTTTATGTACATAGTTACTTCGATGACAGTTTAACTTTCCCCCGGGACAAACTTGACCTTCATTGGTTGGGTTTTTATGGCGGTCAAGCTGGCTCCACAGGATTTGCAGCGGTGGGAACGAGAGGTGGGAAGCAATAAAACTTGCAGAAGTTGACTTCCGCATGCTGTTCACCACTGTGTAAGTAAATAGCTGTGGCAAGTCAACTTCTGCAAGATTTACAGTGGTTATAGCTTGCAGAAGTCAACTTCTGCAAGTTTTATTGCTAGTCTAAACTTCGCACTAAATTAAGTCGAACATTTCTTGTTAATAGTAAAATCCAGAAGCAGCCACTGACGAAAGTGGATTCAAGTGGTTACGAAAAAACAAGAACACTCCTTATAACAGACTCAAGGAAGGGCTCCTTTGCACGAGTCTTTCCAAGGGCCTTACACGAGTCGCCTGAGCTTAAACCGTCCGAGCTCCAGAGCTCTCCTTCCTCAGAATCGTAGCCATAAGCCATTATGGTGTTAGCGCCGAAAGTTCTATCACTACACGTCATCATAATCATCTCAGCCATAGGACGTCCACTGCTGAACATAGGCCTCCCCCAATGCTTTTCATTTTTCCCGGTTGGTAGCGGCCTGCGTCCAGCGCCTTCCTGCTACCTTTATGATCTCGTTAGTCCACCTTGTAGATGGACGTCACACGCTGCGTTTCCCGGTACGCGGCCTCCACTCCAACACTACACATACCTCTATGTAACTCGGCGAGAGGTCCGTTAACCGGCGGCGGCGTGGCAGGCGCGAACGGAAACGTAGGCCTTCCTCGGAATCGTAGCCACCAAGGCAGTGTGGCGTTAACCGCGTAAGTCCTTCTATCCAAACTTGAAGCTATTGGCATCCGTGGCACCCCCCTTGACATCTTTTCAAGCTACCTAACCAACCGTACCCAGTGCGTGAAAATTGGTTCCCTGATAAGCTGCGAAGAACGCGTATCTTACGGAGTTCCACAAGGCAGCATTTTAGGGCCAACTCTGTTCATCATTTATATTAACGAGCTGTGCAGTATGTCACTCCATAACTGTAGTATATTTACCTATGCAGACGACACTGCACTCTTGGTTCATGGTGATAGCTGGGTGAACGCCAAAATCAATGCGGTAAATGCTATAAAGATTGTGATGAAGTGGTTATCCACTAACCTACTTACCCTTAACTTAGATAAAACACGGCTTGTTCGATTTGACATATCAAAATCTAAAAACCTTGACCCTGATTCCGAGCACGTGATTGTCCACACTTGTCACGAAAACTCCCCTGGCATTTGCCAATGTAAACCACTAGAATTGGTTAGTAGTATGAAGTATCTGGGGGTCCATGTAGACGCGGGACTTGACTGGCATGTTCAAATTGAAAAAACTACGGAAAGAGTTCGGAAACTTATATACATTTTTAAAAATCTTCGCAATTCAGCTGACCGAAGCACACTTTTTACCGTCTANTTATTGATCACTGTGTGGCGGCGGCGCGCCGCGGCGGCACGCACGTCTACTCAGCATATGCATTTAATGTCTAACAAAATACCTTTATTTATAGATCTAGTCCAGTTAAATATGGATATGAAAATTACAATTGAATAAACTGAAGGCACACTACAAACTCCAAAAACATGGGATTAACACCTGCAAATGTAAATATTTATTAACGGTGAACGACGAAGTAATAACTGTGTATTTGACCGGAAGTAAAAAGGGTGTCAATACGCTTGTTGTTTCGATGAAGCCTTTTTGAAAACCTTTGTGCCGGAAGTAGTTAAACATTGAGTGTTTTCATTGAGTGCTGCTTGACTATTTAAAATGGACGCGATGTTCGAAAATACTTTGCTTTCTGTGGAAAATGTTACAACGTAATTAAAAGCCATTTGTTGTCACTCCGATTTACAGGCTTTTGATTGTTCAGGCTTGAAAGTTTAAACTAGCGACGTATTTGATATTGTTTCGAATCTATGATGAGTTGAGTTGTGTCCGAATCGGTGATAGATTATGAACTGAACACTAAGGCTGAGTTGCACCACCTAATTTTGACCGTAACTATAACGATAATAAATAGGTGTATTTTGTATGGAGTTTGATAGACTTTTGAAGTTAAAGTAAGGTGGTGCAACCCAGCCTAACGCGCGTATTCACAAACAATGCTTAAGTGACGCAGCAAATCGAATGCACAGCGTAGTATATAATGTTGGTGAATTATGAAGTTTGGGTCATGGTGACTTTGGGAGCTACCCTAAAAAAACTGTCTGGCAAGGAAACGGTATCAACTGGTATGGCAAACTCTGATGGTATCTCAAGACATTTCGCATGCCGAGTGACAAATCTAACCTGAACCTGAAAATCCTGAAATCAAGACTGAGCGAACGAGACAAATTGAGCCATTTCAGGTAGTTAAAGTGAACATTCTAAAAGTATTGGATTCTAATTCCAGAAAGGGCTGATGAGCATAATGAATGTCAATAACCATTAGCTAGCACGGCCTAGATACATTTACAAAGCAGTGACACTTTATTTCGGGTTTGATCCTATATTCAGAAATAGTTTTTCAGTTTACCGTGTGAAAAAAGTGAGCAGGATTAACGGAGAACATCAATTCAAGCTGAAAGTAATTTTTACGTGCGATTTCGGCGGCTTGGTGTAGTGGTTCGAAACGGACTACTATTTCGGAGGTTGCGGGTTCGATTCCCGCACAGTACAAACATTTGTGTGCATGAACATATTTGTTTGTATTGGACTGGGTGTTTTCTATGTATAATATGTATTTACAAAAAAAAAGTATTGAAGTATGTTTATATCCGTTGTCTAGTACCCATAGTACAAGCAAGCTTTGCTTAGTTTGGGACTAGAAGCGCAGTGTAAAATGTCCAAGGATATTTATTTATTTCGTAACAATGTGCGATGTTAAAAATATGCTGTGTGTATTCAAAGAATCGAACTATACAATACAGGTCCAATATAATTAATTATTTCGTCAAATGAAATTGACTGTTAAGCTGCTTACACCCCCCCGTAGGGCACGAGAGTTTTTGGCCAAAAGCCACTGTTGCACTGTTGACTGAAAAGCTTTTAAATGATATTAAAGCTCAACGGTAGAGATTATAGATTTAATTTGAAAGCTTTTACATACAGCCATTTCGAACCCAGCAATCCTCATCCAATAGTGTGTTTGTTCAAATTGAAAAAACTACGGAAAGAGTTCGGAAACTTATATACATTTTTAAAAATCTTCGCAATTCAGCTGACCGAAGCACACTTTTCACCGTCTACCTTGGATTATGCCAGTCAGTCATCTCATACTGTGTTCCTGTATGGGGCGGTGCTGACAAAACTGCACTGATAAAACTTGAACGTGCTCAACGTGCTGTCCTCAAGGTCATGACCCGGAAGAAGCGTATGTTCCCAACCAAAGAACTGTACGCCGATTGTAAAGTTCTCACAGTGCGGCAACTTGCTATTCTCCGTTTGGTTCTGCGCCGACACCGGACTCTGCCGTTCAACCGCCTGATCGCAGCACGGCGAAAGGGAGCAATGAGAGCGTGCCCCCTGATTCGGTGCCGTACGTCGTGGGCAAAGAGACAGCACAAAGCCTTAAGCTCTAAATTGTATAATACAATTAATAACTCTACGAACATTTATTCTCTGACCACACACGAGGTCAAACGAGTAGTAAAGGAACTATTACTTGCTCTAAATTACAATGAGACTGAAAATCTTTTAATANAATAACTCTACGAACATTTATTCTCTGACCACACACGAGGTCAAACGAGTAGTAAAGGAACTATTACTTGCTCAAAATTACAATGAGACTGAAAATATTTTAATATAAATACAACACAACAATAACACATTCCCAAACCCACTTCCACTTTGACTCAGACACACACACACACACACATCCACACACACACAGCCACACACACACACACACACACACACACACACACACACACACACATACATAGTGAGCAGCAAGCATAACATAAAAGCCACATGTAAAATTAAATTTAAGTAATTACAATGTCTCCAGAGGAATCACTGTTCTCTAAGATACAGGACCTATCCTATCCGAGGACAGGGGCATGCCATTCTACCGACTTGTACCTACTGTACTAAAATACTTATGTATTAAGTTCTGTTAACACTGTGTACATATTTCTGTTATAGTGAATAAACATTTTTATTATTATTATTATAAGTTCTATCACTATACCTCTGTGTAACTCGGCGAGCGGCCCGTTAACCGGCGGCGGCGTGGTCGGCGCGGGCGGCGGCGCGTCCGGCGTGCGAGGCGACGCGTCATGCGCCGAACTCTGCGTCTCCCACGAATCGTCTGAACCCGAACCGTCCGAACCCCAGAGCTCGCAGTCTTCGGAATCGTAGCCATAAGGCCATTATGGTGTTAGCGTCGAAAGTTCTATCACTACACGTCATCATCATCATCTCAGCCATAGGACGTTCACTGCTGAACATAGGCCTCCCCCAACGCTTTCCATGTTGCCCGGTTGGTAGCGGCCTGAGTCCAGCGTCTTCCTGCTACCTTTATGATGTCGTCCGTCCACCTTGTGGGTGGACGTCCCACGCTGCGTTTTCCGGTACGCGGCCTCCACTCCATCAACTCAATCACTACACATACCTCTATGTAACTCGGCGAGCGGTCCATTAACCGGCGGCGACGCGTCGTGCGCCGAACTCTGCGTCTCCCACGAGTCGTCCGAACCCGAACCATCCGAGCCCCAGAGCTCGGCGACTTCGGAATCGTAGCCATAAGGCTATTGTGACGTTAGCCGCATAAGTTCTATCACTACACACACCTCTATGTAACTCGGCGAGCGGCCCATTAACCGGCGGAGGCGTGGTAGGCGCGGGCGGCGGCGCGTGTAAAAGCGCTTTTTTAAAGCCTATTTGCAAAAATAAATGAATTTTATGAATTTTTTATGACGCGTCGTGCGCCGAGCTCTGTCTTCCCACGAGTCGTCCGAGCCGAATCCATCCGAGCCCCAGAGTTCGCCGTCCTCGGAATCGTAGCCATAAGGCTATTGTGACGTTAGCCGCATATGTTCTATCACTACTCGTACCTCTATGTAACTCGGCGAGCGGCCCGTTAACCGGCGGCGGCGTGGTAGGTGCGGGCGATGCTTTCCATGTTGCCTGGTTGGTAGCGGCCTGTATCCAGCGTCTTCCTGCTACCTTTTTAAAGTCGTCGGTCCACCTTGTGGGTGGACGTCCCACGCTGCGTTTTCCGGTACGCGGCCTCCACTCCATCAACTCAATCACTACACAATATACCTTTATGTAACTCGGCGAGCGGTCCATTAACCGGCGGCGACGCGTCGTGCGCCGAACTTTGCGTCTCCCACGAGTCGTCTGAACCCGAACCGTCTGAGCCCCAGAGCTCTCCGTTCTCAGAATCATAGTCATAAGGCCATTGTGGCTTTAACCACATATTATTATGTTCTATCACTACACACACCTCTATGTAACTCGGCGGGCGGTCCGTTAACCGGCGGCGGCGTGGTAGGCGCGGGCGATGCTTTCCATGTTGCCTGGTTGGTAGCGGCCTGTATCCAGCGTCTTCCTGCTACCTTTTTAAAGTCGTCGGTCCACCTTGTGGGTGGACGTCCCACACTGCGTTTTCCGGTACGCGGCCTCCACTCCATCACTACACAATATACCTCTATGTAACTCGGCGAGCGGCCCGTTAACCGGCGGCGGCGTGGTAGGCGCGGGCGGCGGCGCGTCCGGCGTGCGAGGCGACGCGTCGTGCGCCGAACTCTGCGTCTCCCACGAGTCGTCTGAACCCGAACCGTCTGAGCCCCAGAGCTCGCCGTCCTCGGAATCGTATTCGCCGACCTGTCAAGAATATTCAACTTCAATTTTAAGGATCGTTTTCTGAAAGGACGCATCAAATCAATCAAAAATATTATATAGTCAGCGTCAAATAGTTTGTGGCCAAAAAGTTCGCAACGCGTCTTTATTACAATTAGAATTAAGGTTGTGTTAACCGCCTCTATGGTCTAGTGGTAAGACCACCTGCTTCAGACGCAGTGGTGCCGGGTTCGATTCCCATTGGGGGCAGACTTCTGTTCGGTTTGGTTGGTGGTAGGGCTTGTTCTAAGTCTGTCGGGCTAGCTACCACCATCTTATTTAAGTCTGTCCCCATAACAACAATGTTAACAGCATTATTGTGTTCCGGCAGTTAGAGGTAAAATAGCCAGTTCAGGCCGAAGGTGAAGCTCGCTTCCACATTCGGCCTGATCGTCACTAACCATCAGGTGAGAAACAGGCCAAGAGCTTCCTCGTTGTGGATAAAAAAAACACCTTTTTGGTCACTTAGGGTGTCACGAACTATTTGACGCTGACTGTACTTAGAACTAGATTCAAGGTTAAGAGCGTTTACGTCTAGCGTGGCATGTCAAGTTTAGGTAATTTCGATGCTAGTTTTATTCACACTAAAATAATTATGACTGTGTGCGTGTTCTCACGCTCTATAGTCAAATCAAAATACTTTGATCCACCATCGTAAAAGTATGCCAGGCTGTCAAGTGACAGCTCAAGGAAACTATAAAATCTTCAAATCTTCCAACACCGACTCCATAATTATAAATAATGGTATACATTAGTCCTAATCANCACACACACACACACACACATACATAGTGAGCAGCAAGCATAACATAAAAGCCACATGTAAAATTAAATTTAAGTAATTACAATGTCTCCAGAGGAATCACTGTTCTCTAAGATACAGGATCTATCCTAGTTTAGAGGACAGGGGCATGCCATTCTACCGACTTGTACCTACTGTACTAAAATACTTATGTATTAAGTTCTGTTAACACTGTCTGTTCTGTTAACACTGTTAGTTAGGGGTTAGAGGGGGAAGGGGGCTTTTTCCTTCAGTAATCAAGTTTCAAACCAAGGTTAAGGTTCATCATCATCATCATCATCATGTCAGCCATAGGACGTCCACTGCTGAACATAGGCCTCCCCCAATGCTTTCCACGTTGATCGATTGGTAGCGGCCTGCATCCAGCGCTTCCCTGCTACCTTTACGATGTCGTCGGTCAACCTTGTAGGTGGACGTCCCACGCTGCGCATTCCGGTACGCGGCCTCCATTTCAGAACATTGCTGCCCCATCGGCCGTCAGTTCTGCGCACTATGTGCCCTGCCCATTGCCACTTCAGCTTGCTAATCCGTCGGGCTATGTCAGCGACTTTAGTTCCGTCGGGCTATGAAGTTTAGGTTAAGGTTACTACGAGTATAATATCGGCTAATAGCCCACAGGGTAATGGCTTGATCCGTGATCATTGATAGTAAGCGCATCAATAAAGCCATTCATTAGGTAACATTTGTTAATAAACACTTTTTATAAACTGTTCATAAACAATGTTTCATCATCTCTGTAAACAGTTTATAAACAGTCCATAAACATAGGTGATGAAACATTGTTTATGATACATGTTGCTGTGCTCTCCGCTATGAGTGGAGAGCAAGTTTCAGAAACCTGTGTTTATGGTAAACTTGTTTCACACTAGTCATAAACAGTTTATCAACAAATGTTGCCTAATGAATACATGGCTTAAGATTTCTACCATGTGTCTGATTAGGAAACATATTTATGCTTATTTCCTCAGGATTCAGAACTTAGCCTAGCCAGGAACAGTACAAAAAGCGCGATTACAAAACTCATAATAACACTGGAATAATGATTTACTCAAAATAATATTAACTCCATCGTGTTCTGGGATAAAGCGGGCACAGTAATACCGGTACGAACCACGACAAAGCTAACCGCAGCAGCGAATGGGAAATGCAGACCCCGCTCGCCAGTTTCCATTGGAATTCACTTCATTTGTCAATCAGCTGCAATTAATTAGAGTACGTTTAAAAAGGTCGCATCGCTTTATGTTTATACTAGCGGCCGCCCGCGTTTTACCCCCTTCATCTATCTTACGCGGTTTAGATTTTTTCATACAAATGTTTTTTCCCGTGGGAATTTTGCAATATCCTGTTGGAACTAAGCTTTAAGTTTACTAAGGTACCTGCATGCCAAATTTCAAGCGTCTAACTTAAGCGGTTTAGATTTTTCGTACAAAAGGATTTTCCCGCTAATTTCCGTTCCCGTGGGAATTCCTAAGTATACTATAACCTGCCCAGGAGTATGAAGAATAATTGTAACAAGTTTCGTTAAAATCCGTCGAGTAGTTTTTGTTTCTATAAGGAACATACAGACAGGCAGATAAAAATTTTACTGATTGCATTTTTGGCATCAGTATCGATCACTAATCACCCCCTGATAGTTATTTTGAAAATATATTTCATGTACAGAATTGACCTCTCTACAGATTTGTTATAAGTATAGACTTGTGATGCAACCAACAGAAGGGTTAAGCCCTTTGAGTTATTATGATAAAATGCTTTTGTCAATTACCCGAATATTCCAGCTCCAGGTACCCGGAGTGGAGGTATGCACCAATGTATTTTGTATTTATCTTTATTTCGATCGAAGAGATAGTTAAAATGTCAATAGGGATGTTTCCTGGGTAAAAAAGCAATAGTTTTAATTAGTCCGTCAGTTAGCTTATCAAAGACTACTTTTGTACGTATGGAAATAGTTGTCCGGTCAGCCGCCCATTCAACCAAGACCTATATCATAAAATTATCAGACTGCGCGTAGTAGAGGGATAAAACTACATGCTATGTATATCAGAACTTACATTAGTAATAATACAATTAAATGTCTAATATCTCATCTTAAGAGTATGAATAATGTGTATCAGTGGAAGGATAGGAAAAAGAATGGAACACCTATAAGGTAGCATGAAGGACCAACCCTATAACTATTAGGGGAGGCAGAATGTTCAGCAATGGATAACCTGTGGCTGAAATGATGATGAAATGAAAAAAAATATATAAAAAAATGCATATAACATGTTTTGTGTTCAGTTGAAGCTTATAATAAGCTCGTGACAGCTTTTCCAGTCAAAGTTTTTAAGTTTGACTGAATATGCTGTCAAGTCTAATTAATAACTTACCTATTTAAATGAAAAGTTTGGTTTCTCGAAGAACTAACTTTATCCAAACTATAAAGATACGAGTAAAACTATACGCGTGCTAGGTAACTAGCTCAGTGTATATAAAATTAGTTAACATACTTTGCGTACTTTCTAGGACCTGTCGCTTGTGTCAAATAAACTGACTAGTTATCGCGTTATTATGTTACATAGTAGTAAGTATCTGAAATTAAAGAAGCAGTAAACTGGCAATTAGTAAAGAAGATACATTTTGTTTCCATGGATTTCTTGATTGCATTTTTTTATGCAAGACAAGGCAGGTATTTGACCGCAATCGCACCTGGTGTTAAGTGAGATGCAGTCTAGGATGGTACATATCTGCCCTGTAAGTGCCTATTCACTCTCTCCTTGAAAAATAATTTTCAGGTATCAATAAAAGTTTGACGAAGGATTACAGCACAATTTTACATCTACGAGTAAGTAGAGCAATAAATAATGATGCACATTAAAATAAATACTTATCGTAACTTCACACAAGATTGCATTTAATAATTAAAACATCAGTAACCAGTCCAGACTGTGGAACTGATTCTTCCGTAATAAAACAAAATAACATTTCAAATAATACAGTGATCACTCGAGTGAAAATGTCTGCTATAAAATTTAATCATGATAAGTAGTGTTTATTCCGGAAAATCGTTGTCTTGAATAATTTCTTCGACGTTTAATGTCTTACTTTAAAGTTTTTTTAATCAAAGCTACAAATTATTGTACTAGGTATTTCTGTTATTAATGAAAACAGGCAATTATCAACTAGAACAGATCGTTTTTAATTAATTGTATCCAAGTGATTAACAAACTGTGGACTGGATAATAATTGTGTGCACGAACAAACATTAAACTTACAATAAAGTTAGTCGTCACGAGCTACTTCATCGATATCAGTAATGACAAGTAATTGTAATTAAATAAAGTATTATTGTTCTATGTCAAGATTTTTGCCATTCTTTACGTAATTCTTGAGAACTTTAAAAAGACTAAATTTCTGAGAAGCTTTGACATTCGACAGTTCAGCCTTTCATCAAACAAGTTCATGGAAACGTGGTTACATTTGATTAGAAGAACATTACATTAATATTAGGTCCTTACCTATGAAATTAGCATTTTGTATAGAGAATTGGAAAAGGAAAGTGTGTTTTTCTATATATTTAAGGAACCACAAATCTGAATTTTATGAAAATTGGTTTGTAAATTGAAACAACATTCAGTTACAGGATATTGTAAGAATAAAAATTTGACATTAAAATGATACGTAAAGAAGAACGGTCATCTGTGACCCAGGCCCGACAGAAACGAGACATACCTCAGTTTTTTTGTCATGTCTTAATTAGTTAAATTATATATTTTTTATATTCGAAATCTATGTATAACACCCAAATATTACCCTTTGTTTTTGTTCAGGCGTTATACAAAAACTAATACAAAATGCCTATTTATCACTAAAATTGGTAAATGTATGTACCTAAATGTCTATTACAGCTGCTATTGAATGTATCTAGGTGACCTGGAGATACAGCCTGGATTATACAGGGTGGAAACGAGAAGTTACAAAATCCAAAAATTCAATGTTACCAGCTTCCATAATCTGTAACCTATTATTGGTACCATTTGAAAGAGCTCGTGAAGCACTTTCAGAATCAGTAACTAGTTTTTCGATATCTTGTATAGTTTAGAAATAATCGAGTGAGATCACTTATCGTTCCATATGTATAACCACCCTGTATAATCCGGCTGTATCTCCAGGTCACCTAGATACATTCCATAGCAGCTGTAATAGACATTTAGGTACATACATTTACCAATTTTGGTGATAAATAGGCATTTTGTATTAGTTTTTGTATAACGCCTAAACAAAAACAAAGGGTAATATTTTGGTGTTATACATGGATTTCGAATATAAAAAATATATAATTTAACTAATTAAGACATGACAAAAAAACTGAGGTATGTCTCGTTTCTGTCGGGTCTGGGTTTTTTTTGTATGGGGCGTGACCGTTCTTCTTTAAGTTCTTGATGCCAAATTAAAAAAAAAACGATGATCATGGCTATAATAGGAAAGGAAATACATACTAATGTATTGAAGAAAAAAACGCAAATTTCATAGGTAAGGACCTAATATAAACACTAAGAATCCTTTTTAATGAAGTTAAAAATATGTTTACGAAATTACTTTTACTCATTCATTTTAATTATTTATTTTATTTGGTATATCAGTTGAAATTTAACAATTTAACACATGAAGTAGTTCATACATTGCAACTAGGTACTCTTATTTATAAATTAGTTTCGAAGTGGTGTTGTTAATTAAACAAAATAATTGTTAACTATGACAAATAAAGCTCGTAACTAGTTTCATTAAACAGGTAACGAACAATCTCTCATAACTTTTTTGTATGATAACAAATATGCAAATATGGACGCTTGTTCTGTCCTGTTGTTCACTATATACTTTGTGAGGAAAAGTAGGCAGTCCAATATTAGCCTGCGGTCTCAACCTCCTTTGTAAAAGTATTTTAAAAGGTAACACGAACTTCTGTTGGAAACTTGGCCATCGCATGAAAACACGTGTAAATTAAATTATTTAGTGCGATGGCCAAGTCAATAATTTATGTAAAACGTTAAAGATTTCCTGGCCTGGACTTGGTATTACATGGATCTCACAACTTTTTACCGTAGAACAACTGAGTTGCGAGACTTGGTTTTTTTGACAAGTATTGTTTTTGATGGGATCGTTTTTTCTTTCTTTCAAAGATTAGTTCTTAAGCCCTCATAACTTTATTCTCGTTAACACCTTAGAGAATTGGGCGTGACTGAAAACCAGTGTTGCAAGGATCTCTCCTTGCAACGTAGAATGAGCCAGGTCCAATTGCCTTCGGTGTACCTTATGTATTTGCAAGACCCAACTTCCTGTATAATTATGGTTCGGAGGAAATAAATACATTTTTATTTATTTAACTTGGTGGTTCATGTTGTAGTGGGTGTCCCAGTAATTCATCCAATGGGGTATGCCGAAGTACCTACTGGCGTGCATCGCAATACATTAGTGGATTGCACCCACCTCGATCAGAAAATGGCGCTTCACTTTATATTATTAAGAAAGAAAGCTAAGGGCAGGTCTTATCGGTGACCAGTAAAATATAAGCATAATAAAACGGGGGGTTGTAGGGTTGCCAGATTTTTAGGTAAAAAAAACGACCCATATTTACAAAATTTTATTGGGCTCTAGCACTGGCACAACCATTAGTGTAGGTACTCCTATGTCGCGACACTACGAGATGCACAAAGGGTCGAACTCGAGTTTAGCGAAACTTTGGTACAGGGGGGTCAATGACCTTTTTTGCATGTGGTAGGAGTGCGTGTCACCACTGCAAACATTGGCGGGCGATCGTGGCACCGTTAAAAGGTTGCCATGGGGGTTGCACCGCACTCGGTCACCATCGATTACACCAATATCCATGCTAATTGGGGAGCAATTAATTCTGTCTGGCCAACACCATGGGATTTAATTTAGGATCCACGTTGCATAATGAATTTACCAAGCTCAGTGTTTCGTGCAGTTTGCGACTACGTTCGGTGCAACGCGGCCTATACGTCAAACGAGTAATTGACATCTACTCGTACGTAACTGCTCTCTCTACTCTGCTACATATTAACAATTTGATTAAAAATTTACAATTTGTTGGATTTAAACACATTGTTGGTCAAATCAATTATTATTATCGAGTTAATTCTCATTTTAAGTAAGTACAGTACAGTTTAACATACAAGTGCGGTACATTTTAAGATAAAAAACAACTTTTCAATACACTTTCCACATACTTTTGAACCGTTCCGCGAATTTTCGGTTCACCAGTTCCATTTCTGGACAAATCATTCAAATAAAAGAAGATTTAACAATTTGATCTTTTCCAATCTGGATGATTTTGGGGAGGAACGGCCCATGGCATAATTTATTGCAAAGATTAGTTCCTTGCTAATCTAATCCCTAAACTAATCACTATAGCATTGGTTCCCAAACTTATTTGAGACGCGCCCCCTTTCGATCATACAAAAAATTCCGCGCCCCCTTCCTCCAGTCAAGATTATTTATTGGTCGTATCGAGCAGTCTGGAATGCATTCTCTCAGCGATCGCAGGTTTCTTACAAATGGCCCGCGCCCCCCTTTAAAGGTCTTTGCGCCCCCACTTTGGGAACCAATGCACTATAGAAAATGAAATCTAGATTATTTAAAGGCTATAATAATTAATGTTGTGCACGCATTTAATAAATGCATGGGTGTTGTTTTCAAGGTTGCGCTGTAAAAGAGCTAACGATTGAAATTGTACGCGTTTGACGTCACTTCGGTGCACTTTTTATTAAAGACAAATTAATTAAACGAATGTAACAAATATTAGACACGCAACACAAGCTTTGCTATTACTGACAATGAAAAATTGTAATGAGAATTAAAGTTTGAATTTTTTGTAGTCCAAGTTTCGGTTATAGATTTTAAGTTTTGTAATTATAGGCCAGTAGAATTAAACACAAAAATTGATTAAATCGGAAATAATTCGTACAAAAGATTTGATTGCTTTAATGGCTTCATTGNTCTTAAGTATAGAATGTATTTACCTTGTATAGATCCTGCGGCCAGCACATGCTTGTGTGGCCATCAACCCACCACACTTTGACGCGACCCGTTGGGAAATTGTCAATGACCTGAAACAAATAAATAAATCAATGACATTTTTCATTATCGATTTGACCTTGTGATGTCTTACGTCAGCAAAAATGCTATGCGACGATACATGACGCAACACAATCTTACACGATGCACTTTATGTTCAAATTAGCGTCTCACTCTAGTACACAGAGCACAACCGTCTTTAATTTGGTTTTCCTAAATAAATGAATAAAAATAAATATTAAAAACAAAGGCAAATGGAGGATGGAAATATTCACATGTATATTACTTGATAGCAAACCAAAGAAAAATAAGGTATTTTATACCAAAACAGCCCAATATTCAATATTAATAACAATACGACCGGGTAATTTTCTGTGTAATTTTTAGTTAAGTTTTTTTTAATATTTAATTTTGGGTCATTGAACCGTCACACCATGGCACAGAGGCACCCGCTGAAAGCCAGTGTCGAGACACGCGTACACACGCGGACAGAAATAGTAAATATTCACACAACAGACAGAAAATTACTTCCAGCATCAGGAAAGTTTTCAGTCAAATACCTAGTCAAATAATAAAAAGAAACTACCTGTCCAGCGGTACATTGCGCGTCCTCGCCGGTGAAGTTGGCGACGCGGATGACGACGGTGCCGGGCCGGTATTGGAAGTCCGGGTGGTCTTTCAGATCGTACACACTCATCTCACTCTCGTACAACATTTGGGGGCTGCGGATTGAAAGGTCATATAAATTAAGTTACTAACATTGCATATTGCGATCGCTTATTTCTTGAAGGTAAAGCTGACAAAGATAGTAAAGACATAAGAGGACGATAACTAGCGTCGATATTATCAATACGCACGAATTTTTTGGTTCAGCAGGAATTATAGATTTCAGTGAGATTTTATAGGACTTGCACTGCTAAATATAGACCACTTCTAATGATTTCCTTGGTTGGAAGTGACATTCAGCGCTTTCCTGCAACCTTCATTTGTCAACATCCAACGCTGCGCTTGCTAGTAAATGGCTTCCATTCCAGAACCTTGCTGCCTCTCACCGTCAGTTCTAGTTGCTGTGCCCTGCTCATTGTCACTTAAGCTAGTTAATCAGCCAGTTTATCTATGTATCAGCGGCGTACTTAAACGCCGTCAGTCTATCTAAGGAACCTTGCTGCCCCATCGTCAGTTCTCGTTGCTGTACCCTGCTCATTGCCACATCAGCTGTCTAGTCCGCTCATCATCTATCTATCTATGTATTACATAGTTCTTGCAACTCACGAAGGCGAATGAGCTTTACTTGTGTGTACGTGTACGTACATGTACATATCGATAGTGTAATGCCTGTCAAACTTTTGAAAAACTAACAGTAGCGAGCCACCACACTTGTAAAGCTCACTCGCCTTCGTGTATTGCAACAACTATACGGTATGGTATACTCACACGGGCTCGTCGGCGCTGGTGTATGTCCGGTACCAGTGCACGATGGCGGTGCGGCCGTGGTGGTCCACACGTTGCACCACTCCGTACTCTCTGTGCTTGAGCTGGGGAGAGACCATAGCTTTGAGTCCATTTATGAGCCAATTCAAACTCACAAAACTCGTTTTAACCAGTACCCTTCACGTCCCAGTAACCCTTGCACTGCTTCGGGGCAATAAATGGGCTACATGCTGATAGATTTTAAGTTTAGGTCTAAACAAAAATATTTTGCTTAAAGCTAGCTCAGGGTTTCGTCCGTATCGATCAGTTTTTTATAGCACCTCTGCCTGCCACAACAATATTTTTTTATGCACAACAAAGCAGATTGACCGCAATCGCACCTAATGTTAAGTGAGATCATTCTAGGATGGTACATATCTGCCCTGCAAGTGATTATTCACTTTCGCCTTGAAAAGGCCCGGATCATAGTGTCCAGGAAAGACAGCAGCAGGCAGCGAATTCCAGTCTCTAGCTGTTCGCATTATGATAAGAGTTTTCGAAACGCTTAGTTCGAGCTGGTGGAATGAACAACAATATTTAGTACCTGTTGGTTTTCTTCGCAGTTGGCGGCGCCGCTGACGACGAAGTCTCCAGGGAAGCACTCCTGCCCGTCCAGGTGGTGAATCGGATACAGTTGGGTCGAAGGAATGCCCATTTCTATGGTGCCGTCCTGGGGAAAAGTAAAAAAAAAATGCTGATTAATTTATAATTGTTATCGTATCGTCGTCAGAAGAAGTGATTCTTATTGTGCCAAGAAGGGGAAATGTACTTTTATCACAAAGCATCGCTTGTATAATATGTTGGCTCAGATTTAGGATTGCGAGATTAAAGTTTCGATCACGTCAGAATAATAAGTGGTAGTATTCCACAAAGACGTCTAGTTCGCTGTTCGGTGAGATGATGATGCCGGTGAATCGGTGAATTCAGGACTAGGCTATATTGGACAGGAGGAGAGATACTTCGTTGCCAGCGTTACGTTCGCCCCGCTTGCAGAGTTACGAGGCAGCGGGTAAAGCCTGGTCTACGTGCTCACGGACCAGGCTTTAGTAGCCAGTAGCGCTGTGACTGTAAGTAGACAGCTGTGTAACGATGTGAGGCTGCAATATGCGCTTCAAGCGCTTGAACCGCTGCAACTGTCTCTACGTGGTGTGCAGCGTCTCCACCACGACGCGGTCGCCGGCGCGCGGCGGGGCACAGTCCGCTTCAAGCGCTTGCCGCGCTGCAAGCGTAAGCCTGGTCCGTGAGCACGTAGAATCCCGTCCAATGACCCCAAGCTGCCCATCCTTGTCGCTCGCACGTAATTATGTTGCTGTCGCGCTCGCACACTCACTGCGGGCGCGCGTCGCACAGTCGCGACAGCAATATAACTACGCGCGAGCGATAAGGATGGGTAGCTTGGGGTCATTGGACAAATTTCTACGTTCTCACGGACCAGGCTTTAGTTGGCTTGGTCCAATGACCACAAGCTACCCATCCTTATCGCTCGCGCGTAATTATATTGCTGTGGCGACTGTGCGACGCGCGCCCGCAGTGAGTGTGCGAGCGCGACAGCAACAGCTAGCAGCAACGGCTGCGCTGTAGCCTCACCTGCCACACGACGTTGGCGCGCGACGTGGTGTGTAGCGTCTCAACCACGACGCGGTCGCCGGCGCGCGGCGGGGGCGCGGGGGGCGCGCGGCGCACGGTCCGCTTCAAGCGCTTGCCGCGTAACAAGCGCACCGCTAGCTGAGGGGAGCGCTTGCCGCGTTGGGACGCGGCGGAGGAGCAGCGGGATGACCATGTGGCACCGCTGTGAGATGACGAGATGATTTTATAGTCGATTTTAACCCTTTTGTCTAGCTCGTAAGGCTTGGTTTCCTCCTACGCTGATGGCTGTTGCTTATTTCCGCCGAGTATTCAAATATACAGTGTATCATTCATAAATTCTGTTTATGAATGAATATAATCTTCACTACATAGAAAGCCAGACTTCTATCACAGATTCAATTTAGTTCCTTGGTTAGATTAGACCAGTTTAAAGCCCACGACTTTTTAGGAAACGTTGGACCCTCATATCAAAGTTTCGCTATAAAAACGTGGAATACAGTTCTAAGCAAGATACAAATTAGAGATTCTACCGAAAGTCAAAAACGTGTTTATTACATTTGTTAACGCACAAAATATCCAGTGGATTTATACTGCTAACTTGATGTAAACATTATTAAGTTATCTTAATACACTCGGCATCAAATAAATCGCACCTCCCGCGACAAGCACTTATCAAACGTATGCATCCCCACTTCCCACCAACGTTGGTACCATTTGAAAGCCTAGTTCTAAACTTCATTTCATTAAAGGAAAGGTTTTTACCCCAAAAATGTGTCTTTACAAGGATCCAGAGACACTTCTTCAAAAAATAGGTAGTTACGCTATAGCCATTTTTTATGACTATAAAACTGTTAAGTTGGGATTAATCGCTATCCATATGTTAAAGAGGACACGTGAGATCTTTATTTGGTTTTATAACCATAAAAATTGGTCTAATTGATCCCAGAGGTGAGCCCAAAGTGAGGTCTATTTTCAAGTCACATTTATGGTATATGTTAATAATTTATTTAGAAATGAAATGTATTTTTCTTTAAGGATATTTATTGGGCTTTCAAATAACACCAATATTGTCGGGGTACCATAATTGTGTCAGAAGAAAATCTTTAAAGTTCGCGTCGCGGAAGGTGCGGTTTATTTGATGTTGAGTGTAGTTTTGTTTACGCATTTCCCATAAATTACCATACATGTAAATAACTTTAATCTTACTTAATCAATTGTATCATTGTTTATCAAGCTATTTATTTAATTAGTCTTCATTCGTTCCCGAAATAGTTTATTGAACAAGCTTAGAATAACACTTTAAGGTCAAGTACAAACTTAGCGACAAGGTCGAAAGACAATGGCGCGTGTAAGAGAAATAAGATTAACTACGTGCGACTGCAAAACATTTTATGATATTATATTGATAAAATACAAGTGGCACGAGTGAAAGTTTTTAATATTAGTAGTAGAAGCAAAAATATTGATTATTAAAGATATTTTTTGTCAGTAATTCAATGCAGATGTGTCATATTAAGTCACGTTAATTACTTAACAGGAACAATATTTTAAATCTTTTATGAAAAGAGACAGCAGATTTATTCACTACACACGCCATATTGTGGCGACCATAGCCCGAAAGACGTAGCGTGGGTAGGCCTCTCACTATGGACCGACGATTTAGTGAAGGTCGCGGAAAGCACCTGGATGCGAGTAGTGCAGGACCGGTCGTTATAGAAATTCTTAGCGGAGGGCTTTGTCCAGATCAGAAGTGGACGTCATTTGGATGAAAAGAATTAGCCTAGCCGCAGACTATAGACTTTCTGTCAGCCGTTTATCAGTATGGGCGCGTCTTCGTGGATGAAACCAGAGTAAATACAAATGAGTAGGTCATCTTCATAGAAACGCACCGAGCGCGGTTTGTATGTGAGCGCGCCAATATACGTATGCGGCGCGCACGCACACACTGACAAAATTCGGAGCAACCACGACTGGCTCCCCGCTAAAGGACAATGTTCGTTCTCCATACATTGTTCGCCGTTAGATCAACAGTGCCGAAATAATACTTTCTAGGTTCTAAATGACACAAATCTTTATGTAAGAACAATTATTCCTGGCGGACCAATTCTATAAACTTATTGATAGCAATATTGTTATCATAACCTCTTACTTACTAGTATTGTATTATATTATTTTATGCACATCGATTTGGGAGATGTTCTGTATTGTAGTTGTCGCAGCCAAATTGTATTATAATATTGGACGGGTTTTGGAAATAGCTCGGCGTTCCACTTTTATGATTTACTTACTTACATTTTGCACGTAAATAAATAACATGAATCCTATGTTTACTTTCCACTCTTGACATTTAACACGTGACTTACCAAACTAACTATCTCCATGGTTACCGTCTTAGTCTATGCATGACTAGGGATTGAACAACTTTTAATTGAATATTATTAACAATTCTCGATAATTATTATCGATTGAAAAATATTCGGTATTTGAATCGAAAGATATATTCAATTTTATCAATATCAAAATATTCAATTTTAATAATAAAATAAATATTATTTACTACCACCTATGAAATGTTCTAAAAATTGCCTGGAGCGCTCCCCCAATCCTGGGTTTTCCCTTTCCAAGCTGAGAGGATATCATTTTGGTTCTATCGATACATTATAAAGGTACTTAATATTTGAAATGTATTACCAATTATTGTTATAAGCATTTTGAGCGAATAAAACTTTCAATTCTATTAGAACTTTAGACATTTCTCTCACTTTAAGCGGCATTGGATTTTTCATCGAATTTTGAAACTGTAACAGATATATTAAAGATGATCCCATATTGTTGTCATTGTCTATATCAGTGTTATGATCACAATTCTTTTTATTTTATTCATGACCTTCGACCAGTTGGACACATTAGATAGCTTCTTGTAGTATCGTGCAATATATTTTTAACTTTTAATTAAAATCTAGTCATACTGTAGCAATTTGGACGATTTATTTTATTTACAAGATCGGTATCTTATTGTCTATGATGACCGCAGTCAACATCACTATTACATGGATTCCTAACAATGAAGTACGGCATTGCCTTGTGCCGATTTTACATAGATTTTATCGACACAAATTATGGAACTTCATAGGATATGGAGCAGGCCACGCCCTAAAATGTCCGGATGTCGTCATAGTATTATGGAATACATATAAAATACTTTTATTATTTCATTTTTTAATCCTCAAGTGTCCGTTACAATCTAATTAATATTTAAGTATTCAAAAAGTAAGAGATTAATTTTGATACTTTACTGCTGTGCCCAGGAATCTAAGGCGGTTTCTGACAATGTCCTTTTGTCAGTGTGTGCGTGCGCGCCGCATACTCATTTTGTATTTACTCTGATGAAACGATCTAGTCACTGACCTGTCAGTGTCACTGCCATCGCTGCTGGTATTCTCCCAGTTGTCGGAGTCATCATCATTGAGAGCCACCTCCGACTTGCTGTCGCCGTTTAACAGCGAACTGTCTTCGCGGTTCGGCTCCGGACTGGAAGATATTGCGAGTTAGTTTATGTTGACGATCTTTTGTTTTAGGCCCAGAACAGACGGTGAAACGCAACTGCAACTGCTAGTTACTTTTGAGTTGCATCTAAGTTTCTGCCATAGCGTCCGTTGAGACCACACATGACGCGACCAGTTTGAAACTTTCAGTTTTAGTTTCATTCATAAGAATCATCACAAAGTTGCAGTTTCGTTGCAGTTGCGTTTCACCGTCTGTTCTGGGCTTTAGTTAACACAAGCAAAGGAGCTGTTTTTGGAAATAGGCGTCTCTAATGCAGTAGACAATAAAGGCTTGCTTTACAATTAATGCAATAATTGAGTATATGAATGCGGTTTTATTCCAAATTATAGGTTTTAGTAAACCTCTTGGGACAGCAATTAATTTTTCATTTTGGTCATTTTGAACAAGAACCTAAAATGGAACAATTACTGAATGTATTTCAAGCTGTCCTCAAGTTACCCAATAGAATTAAACTGAAAGCATCGGAAGCTCTAACTAATCAGCTGATCGTGTCAAGTCCAGTCACGCTGTTAAGAGAAGTGGTTACAATCGAGGCCACCTGATGCCGAACTCATTCAAGCCCAATATATGACATCAGTCACGCTATTAAGAGACAAGTGGTTGCAATTGAGACCACTTAGATCCTAATCGTTTTAAGTAACCCATTATCTAATCGTAAGCTCTAGCTGATCAGCAGATGGTGGAAAATTCAGTCACGCTGTTAAGAGAAGTGGTTACAATCGAGGCCACCTGATGCCGAAGTCATTCTAGCCTAGAGATGGGTAAGTGCTAATAATCCGATTAATAGCAATTGGCTAGTAACGGATTAAAAGTAGTTATTAGCCATAAATAGCCAATAATAGCCGATTTCAGATGGTAACCCTGCTATTAATGTTATACTAATGATTAAACATATCCCTTCATAGTTTACAAATTTAGCACATGAAATTTGGAAGGGACGNCTATTCTAGCCCAATATATGACATTATAATTAAATTGCTAGCTCAAGCTGATCAGCTGATCGTGGCAAGTCCAGTCGCGCTAATAAGAAAAGTGGTTACAATTGAGACAACTCAGATCCTAATCGTTTTAAGTAACCCATTATCTAACAAAATCGCAAGCTCTAGCTGATCAGCAGATGGTGAGAAATTCAGTCACGCTATTAAGAGAAGTGGTTACAATCGAGGCCACCTGATGCCGGAATCATTCTAGCCCAATATATGACATCATAATTAAATTGCTAGCTCTAGCTGATCGGCTAATCGTGGCAAGTCCAGTCGCTCTAATAAGAGAAGTGGTTACAATAGAGGCCACTCAGACTCTAATCTTTTTAAGTAACCCATTATCTAACAAAATCGCAAACTCTAGCTGATCAGCTGATCGTGGCAAGTCCATTCACGTTGGTTACAATTGAGGCCACCTGATGCCCTAATAGTTCTAAGTAACCTAATCTAACAAGATGATTAAATCACAAGCTTTAGCTGATCAGCTGATCGTAGCAAGTCCAGTCGCGCTAATAAGAGAAGTGGTTACAATCGAGGCCACCTGATGCCGGAGTCATTCTAACCCAATATTACATCTTAATGAATCGCAAGCTTTAGCTGATCGTGGCAAGTCCAGTCGCGCTAATAAGAGAAGTGGTTACAATCGAGGCCACCTGATGCTCTAATCGTTCTAAGTAACCTATTTATCTAACAAGATTATTAAATTGCAAGCTCTAGCTGATCAGCTGATCGTAGCAAGTCCAGTCGCGCTAATAAGAGAAGTGGTTACAATCGAAGCCACTTGATGCCGGAGTCATTCTAACCCAATATTACATCATAATTAAATCGCAAGCTTTAGCTGATCGTGGCAAGTCCAGTCACGCTTTTAAGAGAAGTGGTTACAATCGAGGCCACCTGATGCCCTAATCGTTCTAAGTAACCCAATATTAACATAATTAAATCGATAGCTTTAGCTGATCAGCTGATCGTAGCAAGTCCAGTCGCGCTAATAAGAGAAGTGGTCACAATCGAGGCCACCTGATGCCCTAATCGTTCTAAGTAACCCAATATTAACATAATTAAATCGATAGCTTTAGCTGATCAGCTGATCGTAGATCGTAGCAAGTCCAATCGCGCTAATAAGAGAAGTGGTTACAATCGAGGCCACCTGATGCCCTAATCGTTCTAAGTAACCGATTATCTAACAAGATGATTAAATCGCAAGCTTTAGCTGATCGTGGCAAGTCCAGTCGCGCTAATAAGAGAAGTGGTTACAATCGAAGCCACTTGATGCCGGAGTCATTCTAACCCAATATTACATCATAATTAAATCGCAAGCTTTAGCTGATCGTGGCAAGTCCAGTCACGCTTTTAAGAGAAGTGGTTACGATTGAGGCCTCTCAGATCCTAATCTTTTTAAGTAACCCAATCTAACAAAATCGCAAGGGTTACAATCGAGGCCACATGATGCTTTAATCGTTCTAAGTAACCCAATAATAACATAACCTATTTATCTAACAAGATTATTAAATTGCAAGCTCTAGCTGATCAGCTGGTCGTAGCAAGTCCAGTCGCGCTAATAAGAGAAGTGGTTACAATCGAGGCCACCTGATCGTCCTAATTGTTCTAAGTAACGCCTTATCGGACATCATAATTAAATCGCAAGCTTTAGCTGATCGTGGCAAGTCCAGTCGCGCTAATAAGAGAAGTGGTTACAATCGAGGCCACCTGATGCCGGAGTCGTTCTTCTCCTCAGTAGCCGTGTCCTCCTGGCTGCTGGCCATAGGTAGTGACGTGTCTCCGCTTGGCTCGATCTTGATGCTCGGACAGTTCGCGTCGGCTTTTAGCGCGTCGTCCAAAGACTCCAGCTTGGCGTCCGCGTGGTCGATCTCCATGGAGTTGGTCTAAGGAAAACATGAATTTTGTTTTAAATGAATAGGTTCTTTGGGTAATGGATTGCCCAATTTGAAAATGGGTTATTATTAAGATACTTAACTGTGGCAAAATAATTTTATTTTGACGTACACACGGCCGCACTATTAATTCTCCAAATCCGTTTTTTGCTCTCGCTCTCATCAAATGGTGATTCTTTGCGATAGAACGAGACGACATGACAGACAATGGATAGTTAAGACTGTTGCTGATGGTACTGAGTCTCAAAAAAAGATTGAGCCAAATTAGCAAAAAAGACCGTATTTTTTCTAGTATGATTCAAATACAAAAGTTAAGTATTTTTCCGACTATTAGCAGCTTGTCATAAAGTCTGCTAAGAAAGACATGCAGTGGTGCGTATGTGATCCCTCTGGCTGGTGGAAAATGGGAATAGGGATGTGTATGCAGTTATAGTCTATCCAATATAGCTTGATTAGAATGACAGCTGTCAAACGAATGTGACTAGTGCTGGGTATGTTTCGTACGGTTCACATAGATGTATCGATAAGTTTTCGAAAAAATGATATAAAAAAATGCACCCAATTTTTCTTCATATTTTCATTCATAAAAATGACAATTATAATTTAAATTTAAAGAACGTAAAATTTAAAATTCATGTCAAGGGTGTACAACCTAAGTCGTAGTCATTATCATCAGTGTTCTTCAGTGGTTTTTTCCTCTCGCTAGAGGGCGGTGGGCATCTCTTCTAGAGCAACGGTGCTATGAATACCCAAAAAATTACCGGTGATTGATTTCCGATGTTTGATTGTTTAAGAATGAAATGTTTTTTGGTTTTTAATAGTGAACATTTAGAAAAACGTATAACTTGACTTAAATATATTAAAAAAATAGAAAAAAAATGTGTTAAATATTATGTTAAAAAATTAGTTTTAATTTAATATGACATTTGTCGATATGTCCCATCACTAACATTTTTGTAACTCGAGATAACCTTGTAGAGACGTCGTTAATACTCTAGCTTGATTTTTATAATTTCGAATTACTACTTATTGGTGTAATTTAACGCTGCATTTACACGAAATTAACATTTTTATTGGAAGCACTGTCGTCGAAAATATTGTTTGTAGGTCAGACGTGAATTATTTCTTGTCCGCCAATATTTAGCTCTCATTGATCGCTACTACAAAGTTATGTCGTTACTTTTGATGGCAGCTGTCATTCTAATCAAGCTATATTGGATAGACTATAGTGAAACACGGATGAATGCTTATGGTCTATGGCCATTCTGTCGCACTGAAAAACACTTTAATTACGAGGTTGGGAGCCCTAATTACCCCCATAAATTAAAGGCGCATAAAAGATAATAAAACTATGACAAACTTACATCAGAAGATTTTAGTTTGCGGTGCGCGGAGGCTCTCTTCTTGGGCCGCGAAGGCACGTGGTCCGACGAGTTGGTCTCGGACTTGGACGGCTTCTTGCACGGCCGCGACTGCTTGCGGATGTTCCTGTAGTATTTGCCTGGGGAACAAGCTTCAATTTTATGCCCTGATAATTTGAATTGTATTTTCTTAAAGATAAGGTAGAAAGTTGCAATCGAAATGAAAACGACTACAGCAAGTTTGTGCAATGGATCCTTCAGGCCATTGGGGCAATCAATATGATTGATCTATTTTTTTTCGGACAATAAGTTACCACAAAACTTTGTCTTCATTGTGCATTTTATTTACTAAGCTAATAATGCTAGATGCAAACAACCACAAAAGCAAATCAGACTTAAAGCTGCAAAATCTTGCTATCGCAACTTTATAAGGTGTCTTTTGTTTAGCTTGATATTGACGACGGCACAGTGGTAAATAAACAAGTTGCGAGGTTTCTTTTAACTATATTATAGTTTCTAGAAAATGCTATAAAGCTTGAAAAAGTATATTTTGGAGTGTGGTGTGCATGTTGGAAGATTTGTTATTAATTTATTCATATTACAACTTACTATGTTGTTTACGCCATTGCTTCTTGCTGATGAACGTGTCTTCCGGACCGATGGTTAGGAAATTCCTGTCTCCAACTTGAAGGGTGCAGGGCTCGAAGACATTCAGCAGCTTCAAATTCTTCAGATCCTCACCTGCACAGAAATGTGGGTTACAACAAATGATCCGCGAAGGTGTACCGTTTTGGACAAAGATAAACAATTTATGCACATTAGAAATTCTGTGGAGTTATAAGAGCGGAACATTTTTGAAGTTGATTGTGCAGACAATGATACTATTAATTTTTATTGTTTGCACTGCGCGTAGTAACGAAGTGAGTCTGATATTTATGCGGGCTGCAGAAGCTTCGAAACGCTGTTTACGTAGTTTCGGGTCTATTTGTCAACGTCGCTCGCGCTGGCATCTCGCTTTGCGTGAGAGGGATGGCCGCATTCGAAACTTCGGATCACGGTTTTCGGAGTAGCCCCACTGACCCTTATAGACAGTAACGTTTACGCGATATTGTGCCTTATGTCCTACGGGTTACGGCTCACCTTCGACGAGGAACTTGGGCTGCGTGGGCGCAGCTGCGTTGGTGGGCAACGTGCACAACGCAAGGCACTGCCAGTGGACGCTCACACTCGAACTTAACCCTTATAGACAGTAGCGTTTACGCGATACTGTGCCTTATGTCCTATGTGTTATGGCTCACCTTCGACGAGGAACTTGGGCAGCGTAGGCGCGGCGGCGTCGGTGGGCAACGTGCACAACACGCGGCATTGCCAGTGGACGTTGATGCTCCAACCTGACCCTAATAAAAATGAACTGTTTACGCAATACTGTGCCTTATGCCCTATGTGTTACGGCTCACCTTCGACGAGGAACTTGGGCTGCGTAGGCGCGGCGGCGTCGGTCGGGAGCGTGCACAACGCGCGGCACTGCCAGTGCACGCTTACGCTTTCCGTCACCACTGCCTCCACGGTGAACTGTGGGAAAACGGGAAATTCTTATTCTTCTTATTACTGGTCATGTTGGCTGCTTGATGATACTACATTGGATACAGAGTGGTCATGGGAGGATCGATAGTCAAGTACCGAGACATCAAAATCCTCGAATTTTTATACAGTTTTACAGATTTCTTGATACGAGTAAGTTCATAAAAATAGTTTTAAGAGAGTTTTTCAGATAAAGGCTTCGCTAATTTAACGAAACTGTCCACATTTTACTATGGCTAGCGCTCTAGCACGCGGTAGATACGTGTTCTTTTGGCATGTCAAAACGAGTTCGAGTGGTCCTCCAGATTCGTAACATTAACGCTCATATACAACATGACTTTTTAGTAAAGTACCTTATGATCGTGCATCTTGTGTTTCCTCGCCGCCTTCATCTCCTTAGTGACGTGCAGCCAGTTGGCGCTGTCCAGCGAGCCCAGGGGACTGTAGACCACCTGTCCCGGGTAGAACTCGGACGAAGAGTATGGCATAGACCGACGCCGGCGCATCGAGAAGTCCTCCAGGGGACAGTTGTCCAAGTTGGAAAGACTCGTAACAACATAACAGGACTTCACTAAATACCTTATGATCGTGCATCTTGTGTTTCCTCGCCGCCTTCATCTCCTTAGTGACGTGCAGCCAGTTGGCGCTGTCCAGCGAGCCCAGGGGACCGTAGACCACCTGCCCCGGGTAGAACTCAGACGAGGAATACGGGGTGGACCGGCGCCGGCGCATCGAGTACTCCTCCAGGGACAGTTGTCCAAGTTGGAAAGACTCGTAACAACATAAAAGGACTTCACTAAATACCTTGTGATCGTGCATCTTGTGTTTCCTCGCCGCCTTCATCTCCTTAGTGACGTGCAGCCAGTTGGCGCTGTCCAGCGAGCCCAGGGGACCGTAGACCACCTGCCCCGGGTAGAACTCGGACGAAGAGTATGGCATAGACCGACGCCGGCGCATCGTTTAGTCCTCCAGGGGACAGTTATCCAAGTTGGAAAGACTCGTAACAACATTATGCAACAGGACTTCACTAAATACCTTATGATCGTGCATCTTGTGTTTCCTCGCCGCCTTCATCTCCTTAGTGACGTGCAGCCAGTTGGCGCTGTCCAGCGAGCCCAGGGGACCGTAGACCACCTGCCCCGGGTAGAACTCAGACGAGGAGTACGGGGTGGACCGGCGCCGGCGCATCGAGTAGTCCTCCAGGGGACAGTTGTCTAAGTCCGGGTATTCGAGGCGGGAGCCGTCGGCTGAGACAAGGCGCAGTTTGCTGTGCACGGCCTATGGAAGAAATGTACGAGGTTTTTAGTAAAACTTTATTAATTTGTACAAAAAACGAGTTTTTTTTTAGGTAGCTACACTAAATAAATGCTGGTATTGAAGTTCGTTAATAAAAATAGTTCAATAGTCGACGAGGATCGAATAAATTGACACGCGAATCGGCAGTTTGCCACCGAAACCGAATGTTAGCCAATGTTAGCTCTTACAAAGTTTTTGTTTCTTCACACAATACAATTTTTCTTTGAGCTGATTCTGTTCCACAAATGCACAAAATATCTTCTTACTCAATAAGAAATATTCAAAAAAGAGACCAATTTATAGTTGAAAAATTATCTCACCTTAGAAGTCCCAACCCAGGAGTCGAGGCAGACAGCCAAATCAGGGGTAAACTCCTCCAGCGGTTGGAGTCGTTCACTAGCCACGTTGGGGATCACGTGCTTCGTCCCGACGATCTGCAGGGCGGCAGTCATCACGATGTCGCGACAGTAGCCGCGTTGCGTGTCCTTGCCAGCTATAAGGCGCCGGACTACATCGCCGGGCATCAGCGAACGATCCGCAAGTCCAACCTAAGTAATTTTAAGTGAAAATTAATATTTATATGGCTATGGTAGAGAGGGTTTGTGGGTCTCTTGCAATCACTGAGTCATATAACTTTTTGTCTCATACCACTGTTGTACACTGAAACTGTTTTGAGACAAATAAATACTTTCTATCTATCTTTAGATTTATTTATTCTTTAGATATATTTATTTTTAGAACGGGACAAACTTGACCTTCATTGGTTGGGTTTTTGTGGTGGTCAAGCTGTAGATCCTGGCTACACAGGAGTTGCAGTAGTGGGATCGAGAGGTGGGAATAGTCCCGTATCTATCTATCTATCCAAGTTAACATATTGCATTAAAGACTGAACCAAACACAATTAAATACCAATGTTGTTACCAGTTGCAGTGATATTCTCTCAACAAAGAAAAACAATTTCCTGTTGGAACTTAAATTCAAATGAAATATTGGTTATACTTATTATAAGTTAGCTAAATAACATTTAAATAAATTATTCTTTGGTGTGATATGTCCATATTATTATTTGAGAGATACGGACTCTATAATGTAAGTTTATATGAATAAAAGGTGCCACTATCATGGCTACCATTTACAAGTTTATTTCATGTAGGTACTGTACAAATATAAAAATTATTTTTTGTTTACTTAAAAAGGTTTTTTGTTACTAATTTTCATATATTAAAAATATTTTTTGGGCAGAAAGTCGATAAAAATGGGTATAATGCTAAAATGTACGTAATTACATTCAGAAAGATAATACATAGGTATTTAAAAAAGTTTTGAAAACATATTTTTCATCTATAATTGGCAACTTAATACTAATTTTGTGAAGAAATATTATTTTAATACTTTTTATTAAACAATAAATCACTGTTATAAAACAGTAAAATGTTTAATCCATCAAAGACAAAAAATAAGTTTGAAGTACCTTTGAACAGGTGAAGAAATCTAAATAATAATGCTTGAAAAAGTAATATTATATTAAATGGGTTTTTCTTTATTTTAAAATAATTGTAATTTACTTAAACCAGTCCCTTAACAATGAAAAAATAAAATAAGGATAAAAATATGTACAATGGGAGCGATTGTATGCAGTTTTAATTTTTTTATAACTTATGAAATAAAAAAAATCCATAAAAATGTACAAAGAAAGAAAACATAAGCAGTTTTCAAAACAGCAATATTAAAAGATTTTTTTACAATGAATTTTTTTTGTTGTACAACTCGTACCTCAGTAATTTACAACTACATTTTGTCATTATACGGAATATTGTATATGGTATTAGAACCATTTTAGATCTCCCTTATGATACATAGGCAAATTATTAGCAATTGATTTACCACCTACAATAATAGTATTTTAAATGTGCAGCATGGTATTAACTATTAATACAGTTGGCAATAAGCCTGAGCACATTTTCAAATGAAAATGTGTAATTTTACTTTTAAACTTGCTCCATGGCAACTGAAATTCAAATTTATTAAGATTTACAGGTTTCAGCAAGTATGAATAACCTTGTAATCCGACTGGTAAATGTAGCACATTTCAAAACATATCCAAGTTGTGGGTACTCATTAAAACATGACATTGCTCATATCCTCAACTTTATACTTTCTATTTGGAATTTCCTGGAGGTAACCTACGTTTTTCTAATACACCTAATGGGTTAGACCTTGGTTTAGGGGTTGTTGTGCTCATTATAGGAGACCTAATTTATTATTGTTCAATACTCCGTCGTAGATTGCATGACTGGGCCGGCACTCCGTCCGCGTTTTAGGAAACTCTTTCTACTTACTGACTTCTCGGATATAACTCGTTCAGTGCCGGAAGGATGCCACACAACGCGAATTTCGCCTTTTTGCACTGCTGCTTCAATGTCGCTCTCTTGATCACTGGAGATGCCTTCATAGTTTTCGAGTACGAGGCCGAAGACCACTTGCCCGCGATTGTTGATTTTATACACTTCATCCTCGTAAAAATACTGAAAGTCAGTCGGCGAACCTGGATTTTGCCCCGCCATATTGACGGGAATTATCTAAAGACACAAATAATTTTGTTTTTACGTGATTTTGTTCTTTCTGACAGCTGATTGCAATGTGTGGCGCATGCGTCAATTAATTATGCAACGGGAGCGCCATCTTGCGGCTTAAATGCAAAAAATATTACGTTCCGTTTTCCACATACTAACTTATTTTGAATCGAGATTCAAAAAATATATTGTCATATTTTTTCGATAAATAAATGTGTAAATAATTTCCTAAGAAATAAAACTGGCTATTTTAAAATCTCAAACTACAATCTGAAAAAATTCAAATGGTCATGTGAAAATCATTGGGAAAATGGAAAATTTATCCACAGAATTAATCGCAATGTTGTGACAGTTTTTTGTCGTTTGAACTTTGATTAATAACTTGAATAAAATTATTTCCTTGAGCATTACCTACACAGCTTTATTAATCTAAGCCTACACACTTAGATTAATCTAAGCCTACACACAAAACTTCTGAGAAGTCTTACCTATAATTTTCACAACAATTTCACAATTCTTACAAAATTTACTAATCCTATGTCGAGGCAAGTTGCAGTTAATTCTTGTGTTAATAAGTGAAACATGCGGTCTTCCTCTTTTCAGGACACATTGGAAGGGTGCAATCTGGTTTCTGTTAGAGCTTGGAGAGAAGAGTTAAAAGATTTAAAATGAAGAATCCTGGTTCGACCACGTACCGGGCTGAGGTACCGGGTTTGATTCCCGGTCAGACAAATTTTTTAAACTCTTACTAAGGCTCTGGATTTACTTACTTAGATAATTTATTAACATTGCAGTTAATTTATTACTTCTTAAATGGCACACACGAATACCTACAGTCTTATTGAATATTAGTCTAGGCTTTTAATTTGTAGGACTAACTACATAGTAGGTACCACCTTACTATTATATTACTAGCCATACAACGCCCTAGTAACTTACGTAATACAACTTTTCATTGTTTCAGATAAGTACTTACTTTCCTCCCTCAAGTCTCCGCGAGACCAACCCCTTCCTTCCTTCAATTTACATAACTGGTTCTCGACATCTTACGTAAATTCCTTGACGTCCATATTCTAGCTTATTGTCTTTCAAATGTCGCGTTATTATGAGTAAAGGGGTGAATTATTGCGGCTCACAGCTGTGACGTTGCCGAGAGCCGGCGCCATTCGCGCGGGTGCGCGATCAATACTCTTATCAACATAGCTGTAGGTGTTTACATGCGCTAGTACACGCACAGCGGTCGCATGAGCTTGTCGCGTCACGAGTGATAACAGGCCGCGCCACAAATTCTTCAATCAGGGACATGTGAAACAACCAATATGCCTCTCCCAGAGCTAATCAAACGGGCATCGAGCTATCTCCTCGGTCTAGAGTTTGAGGATGAGGAACCCCCGGATTACGTGGACAATGAAATATTGTTTTGCAAGAACAACGTGTGCGTACATCCGCCGACCATTGCCAGGCATGAACTGGATATCGTACATCATCCCGGGTATCTCACAGTAACCACAAAAGTGTTTACAGACCAACACAACAACGCTAAGCGACCTACGCTCTTTCTGAATTGGATCCCTAACTCGACACTCAGAAAATGTCCTTCCGCGGTAGAGACGAGTCCGAGCGACGAGCTCGGGTACGGCGCGACAAAAGCAAACCCTAAAGCTATACCGAAGCCCCACAACGATGCTAAGACTAATAAAGTTGATTCCAACAACGAAAATGCTTTTTCCGATTCGTCGGAAACGACCAGTCTCAATTCCAATTCTGATAAACAAAGCATTAAGTCGTCCGATACTCGTTACACACATAACGACACGACTCAGGACGAGTTGTCGACGAGTTCTAAGCCGACTGTAAAGTCCGTAGATTCCGGAAAGGACAATGTGTTTGGTAGCTTTGAGAAGGACGAATCGAAGGATGAGGTGTTTATGTACGATAAGCATGTGCGGTCGCAATCGATGACGTCCGTAAACATAACGATCGCGAATCCTAATATTGAGAATGTAGACTTGACACCAGATTCGCTGTCTGGGGATAAGTTCATCAGGTCGTTGTCTATGAGCTCCTGTGATGAGGGGAACCCGAACTGGATGAGTACTCCCGAGTTCCTGGCTTTGAAGCACAACTTGGTGTTTCCTGACAGCGTCCAAAGCTCCCCAGTGCCGCAACGGCGAGCCCCTATGAAATGCCGTAGGTAAGGTTAATAAACAAACTGTAATTAGACATAATTGCGTTGATAAAGTCTAATTATAATTATATCAACACACACAGGAACCACAAACATTTTATCGAAAGCGATACTGAATGTTTGCGCGTTAGGTATTACCAAAAATGTACGTATATTTACCAATGTTAGCAATTAATGAGTCACTTAATCTTTATGTACGTAATTAATTTACATAAATTCCTCTTATTTACCTAAGTAGGTAGCGAAGAAATTCAATCCAAACGCCTACGGTGGAAACTACTCAAGTTGAAATTATTTGTACCTACTTACTTTACCTAATGAAGTAAGTAATCTTCAAAGGAAATCTTGCCCTTTATCTACCCTTTCCCCTAAGGTACTGATGACGGAAACGATATACTAAAATAAGTACAGTCACGGAATGAAAAGGTTCGTCAGTTTTCAAATTGATTCCTTCAACGAATCGCGAGCACATATTACCTTTTGAAACTATGTTACAGAATAATCTCGAGTTAGAGAAAATTATCTTTAACTGTTCGTCAGTAAAGTTCAAAATTATTCAGATCAAAGTTGTTTGACGATTTATCTTGTCAAGAATATTTTGATTGATAAACTAAAACCTTCTTGTTGGTTCAACCTGCCATTATTATTTCTATGAAATAAAAAAAACTACATTTTGTAACATTGCATGGGATAGAAAATTAAACAAGCAAAACCTTATTCGTTAGCAAACGTCATATTTATTTAAATGTTAGCAGCACTGTTTCTGGTACTGTTATGTTGGCAGGTTTGACTCTTACAGTACCTAGTGCAAGCGAAAACCGACACTAAGGTGACGAACCTTTTCATTCCGCGACTGTACATTCGGAATAGCAATATAAAGTTCAAAACGTTACAAAAACTTCTAAAAAGAAAAGTTTTCCATCTATATCACAGACAATAAATCGTCGTTGAAATTAAATTGGACTGGATCCTACGGGCAGGATTGCGCGGGCCATTACGGGCACATTCTTGGGAGTTGAGAATCCCGCCACGTCTCCGGAATGCTTATTGCTTAGCAGTTTAGCGCCGCGTCACACTTTAATAAAGGATATTTATCTTCGATTTTATTTTCTCTCAGATACATTCTTCCCGTAGTTATGAACTGAAGCTACGGAATCTCATTTTGAAGCTTTAAAAATTCATAGGAATATCGTATGCGAATTAAAATACGCTTTTAACAACCTCGATATAATTAATTGCTGGCTGATAGCCAGTACTTACACCCAAAACGCGCTTTAAAACAACGACTTCTCATAAAAATTAACCGGCAAAATCAGCAGCTGAAAACTTTTTCATTTAATTGATTGTTTCGTAAGTTTCAATCTTTAGAACTCAACTTATTTGTAAAGTAATTAAGGCCAGAAGGAGGATAGAAACTTCAGTCATCCACGTAACTACGAATTTTTACAGGTTTTCAGTCGACCTGAGTCAAATGCGGTCTCTACGGTTGTTTTTCAACGACGACAACTGCACGTGTGGTCAGCTGGTAGTAGCATCACGAGAGTCACAATATAAGATTCTTCATTTCCACCACGGTGGGCTAGATCACCTGGCTCAAGTTCTGCACAGATGGCATTCGTTGCTGCACAACATCAAACTAACTCCAGGTAAGTTTCCTATGCTAGTGCTATGGAGAGGGTAATGCTCGGTGTTTCTTTACGAGATGGAATCAGAAATGAGGAGATCCGAAAACGAACTTAAGTCGCTGACATAGCCCCACGGATTATCAAGCTGAAGTGGCAATGGGCAGGGCATATACCTAGTACACAAAAATGACGGCCGATGGGGCAGCAAAGTTCTGGAGAGGAGGCCACGTAACGAAAAGCGTGGCGTAGGACGACGACCTCATAAAGGTAGCAGGAAGGCGTATTGTATTTATTATTTATTTTACTTAGAAACTAAAGAAAAAACTACCTACTTAGGTCTTTAGTCCATTTAGCTTTTCCACAGAGAACATAACTGTAATGCTTCGTACTTATTAGCTATTCTGTGCCATGGTCAAACTAATGGGGCCATTATTCCTGTACATTGTATCTTTTTCAACATAGCCATTGACCCATTGTAGACCGTCGTTTCTAAATACCAGTTTTCAGAAAGTTACGAACACAAATTAGCGTTATTTATCACCCTATTTGCTCGGATAACTCATCCGGATACAAAGTCGTGATGAGACGTCGTAGAAAGTTAGTTGAAAACAACTATTTCATTTTACACAGTTATCATAATCGATCAATAAACTTACCTACTTTCTGTGTCGCACACGTAAGTACACGATTGGGTGTATTTCTTTTAGCTCTTGTTCTAAAAATAAGTTATTTAGGCTGACATTTTCTCGATAAATTCTGAGTATATTTGTTATTCAATGTATCTGCTTGTCTCTTGCGTAGGAGGTACCTAACAACCCACTCAAGTTTCAGTAATGGATAAAGGCTGTATTTACAGTTAATGAAATACATCAAAGCTTGGGTGGATTATATTTACGCCTACAGACTGTCCAAACTACAAAGTAATTACTTTTCATAATTGAAAATTATTTTTCCCAGGCTCAGAGGAACCTAATTTGCCGTACCGTCATTTTATGGTCTGCCGTCCTGAAGTACAAAAATCTGAGCAGCATCCCGAAGAAGGAAAAGTCCCTAAAATCACCCCTGAACTGTTTTATGGCAAAATCATGAATAGCAAAGGGGTCATAGAAGACGATCTGTTTCTCAGAAAATGCGTGTTCTTTGGAGGTCTAGACAAGGAATTGAGGCGTGAAATGTGGCCGTTTTTGCTCCACTGCTACCCGTACAACTCGACTTATGATGAGAGGGAGATCATTCTGCAGATTAGGACTAGAGAATACGAAGAAATCACAAGGAGAAGACTAGAGAAGATGACGCCAGAACAGCACGCGAACTTCTGGAGGACGGTGCAATGCGTGATCGAGAAAGACGTCGTGAGAACGGACAGGGGCAATCCCTTTTTCGCTGGGGAGAACAACTACAACATTGAAATTATGAAAAACATTTTGCTGAACTACGCAGTTTACAATCCTGTACTTGGGTATGTTACTGTTCTATCTTTGTTGATGAAACTGGAAAAACTGGTAGCATAATGAGGACATTTGTTTTTCAGATACACACAAGGCATGAGCGACCTCCTGGCACCAGTATTATGCGAAATCAAATGCGAAGCCGAAACTTTTTGGTGTTTCGTCGGACTAATGCAAAGGGCAATCTTTGTTTGCACTCCAACTGATAACGATATGGATAACAACTTGGTGATTTATCATTCCTAATTTAATTAATAACAAAAAAATAAGTGGCATATTCTAAATAAGAGTTTTTTTTCCAGAGCTACCTTCGGGAGCTGATTAGGATAATGCTGCCACACTTTTACAAGCATCTGGAGAAACACGTGGATGCAATGGAACTCCTGTTCTGTCATAGATGGATTTTACTGTAAGTAGTAATTTGTATCTTCAAAAATTGTGTTAGATTGCACGGGCACATCGTGTCTAATTACTTTTAATTAATAGTTTTGCGACTGAAACGACGTAGACCATCGTGCTTTGCGCATTGCGTTTTGAAAACATGAAAAATCTTATTTTCTTTAAAAAAAAAAGTAAAATATGGAAGTGATAGTATTAGTATTATTCTTTGTTTTCGATTCCCCTCTGACTTAATTTAAGATTCCATTACACTTTAAAAATACGTCCAGAGACAAACCGCTTTATTCTACATAGAATTCTCTTTCTACCATTACTTCTCTGGACAAAAATATTGATACACAATCTTACTCCTTATTCCAGATGCTTCAAGCGCGAGTTCACTGAAGCAGTGGCTCTTCGCATGTGGGAGGCGTGCTGGGCCAACTACCAGACGGACTACTTCCACCTGTTCCTGTGCCTGGCCATCATCGCGGTGTACGCCGATGACGTCATCGCGCAGGACCTGAACACTGATGAGATGCTGTTACACTTCAGCTCGCTAGGTAAGGAGATATGAAGTAAGTTCACTGAGGCGGTGGCGCTTATTATTTGTTACCAACTACCAGACGGCCTACTTACCTGTTCCTTTGCCTGGCCATCATCGCCGTGCATGCCGATGACGTCATCGCGCAGGACCATGATGTAGTCATGTTACATTTACAAAGTTACATTAATGTTTACCAAATGGTCTTCTTCTTCAGATATTAATGGAATTCCACCTTATTATGTATGACTTACACATTTTTTATGAGCTATCAATATTATATCTTTGTTTGTTTACGGAAATGCCCACGTTTGTTTGTTGTTTATCGACTACGATTTTTATGTTTTGGTATGTGTATGTGATACTGAATAAATATTTGATAGATGTGCCTAATTGGGAACGTTTTCTTTCCAGCCATGTACATGGACGGCCGTCTAATCCTCCGCAAGGCTCGCGGTCTCCTCCACCAGTTCCGATCTCTGGTTCGAGTGCCATGTACCCTAGCTGGCATGTGCCAGCGCTGCGGGCCTGGCATATGGGACTCCACACACAGACCTAGCATAGAATGCACTGGGGAACACCTAGTCTGCGAGTACAAGGCGCAGTAGGAATTGACACTTGAAAGGTGAAACAGATGAAGATCGAAGACTTGGAATGGAAACTAAGCTGGCCCTGAATGGACAGGCTACACTTTATAAGAACAGTTATAGATCTAAGCATATAACAACATCTGACTAATATTCTTGGGCACATCAGTACATGTATTACGGAAAAGAAAGCCCTCATTTCATATGATGACGGTGCATCATCAGACACCAGTGTTTTTTCAGCCAGCATTATTAAATAAAATTTCATTGAGGGCGTGTGGCATCCCTCAAATAGTTTGTTATGAAACTGTACCTACCTTAATTTTTAATTGCTTAGATCTACAGCTGTAAAAAAGCCGACGATTTTCTGGAAAAATGTCGGTATCATGTCGATAACAACAACTTGACAACAACTGTGCTTGGCATTAAGCAGAATCATTGCGTTGTCGCAAGTACGCGGGATCAGTCCTTGTAAGATCAAGACAGTTGAGCATCAATTCAGTTTTGTCAGGAAAATCGGTAATCGTTTTTGTTTATTATTTTAAAAGTTACACCAAAAGAAAAAAATAACTACCACATTAGCCAGTAAAAAGTTAGTCAAGCTTGCGCTAGGCAATTCTTCAAGACAAAATGCTAAGCAGTTTTTTGTGATAGTTATTTTGTTGGGCGCCTAGCTTCTATCGAGTTAGATTTCTAACCAAGCAAGGAGTATAAAATTAGATATTATGTACTACATACAGTACAAATGACAGTATTACCAGAATTAAGGAGCTTGGTAGATTTTGTATTATTTATAGTGTGAGACATGACAGTCACAGCGTGAAAAGGGACAATTAAAGTTTGTGAGATAGTTAATTTCACATGGAAATCTGTTTGTGGGGTTAACCCATAATTAGATAGTGAAAAAAAGAGGTTTTTTCCACCAATTGACGGAACATATCAGCGTGGAAACAATTGACGACGTTCTTATAATAAAGTAATGAATTACTGTATTGTTAACTTCGTATACTTATTCGTACATTCTTAAGTTTGCAAGTTCATCATGATGTACCTATTATATTGTTAAATGTCGTTAAAATAAATTCATATCGCGCACTTAATTATTCGAAGATCGTTTATTATTGTCATCTATTTACTATCTATTGTCATCTAATAATGTTATTATGATGATACGTTGGTACCTGTTTATAGAATTTATAGGACATAATAAGTATTACTGGATAGCAAGTGAATTTACCTAAGATATAATACTAGACACCAGCTAGCAAACGTGTCTATAAAGTGTTCAAACTTGTTACGTTTGCCTGATGTCAATTGGCTCATACTTGCTTCGAAGTAGTAAAAAATATATTTTTTAATATTGAAACTGGTGTCTGGTGCTATACTTAGGCTATCGAGGAAATGTATGCATGATAAAATAATTTGTAGAGCCGGACAGAGTGAATAGGTCATCCATTTGCAACGCGTAAATACATTTATTATTTATGTAATTCAGATAGTGTTTATTGATAGCTAAGAGTGACCACATTGTACGATACCTCTGGACACTCTTTCAATACAGATTTAGCAATCCGTAACAGTTATTAAAATAAATCAACGTGAAATGGAACCAATTAAAGAATGATGGTCACTCTCATATTTCATTACACTTTGTTGACTTTAAGAAGGATTCGCGCTATTATTGTATCTTTATACCACGGTAATACTATTATAGCCTGACCAGGAACATAAAAACCCTGGCATAGAGGCGCTTCAATTGCATTTGATAGTGCAACACTGAGTACAGTCGTACATGTGTTAAATTAATAGGCTAAATTTATGTATCAGGATTCAGGATTACGGGCTACTTTGATATTTTCATAAATGAACGAAAAATATTATTAAAGGTAACCTGGTTTAAATAAATTAAATAAACCATCAATCGAGCTAGTAGGATTTATTTTATTATTCATCAATAATCAAATTCAGAACTTGAATATTCAACTGCAATGTCTGCTCATGAACGCTTCAAACTCGGTACTTCTTTCCCAATTCCATATAATTCAAAACTTAGAAAGTAACAAAAAACTTTAAAATGGGTAGTTGAAACAGACTACAGCTAATTTTCATAGTGGACTGTACTATACGATAAACATGTCAGTCAATTTGACAACCTTTGTCGGAAACATTATTCAATGAAAATATTGTCCGAACCCTTAGTATTTCTCTTCGACAAATACATTAACACACCGTGAACCACTTTTCTTTCACGACTATAAAAATATTTTAGCAATTTAATTCACAAAATCAATTGCACACATTTAAAATAAAGTTTGTTTACACTTTGACAACAATAGACTGACATGCAAGGTGACATATCAATGAAGTTTTCAGTTACTGTTGCCATTAAAAGAAATTAGTACCATTAGTTTTCCGCAACATGGCGAGGGTTTTTATGTTCCTGGTCAGGCTATACCGTGTTTATACTATACGGGTTACTACGTCCAAGCAATATTTTTTTTGTAAACTGTCAAAATTTAAGCTTTTAAGGGCAGTGTTTGAAAGGTAAAAAAAATATTGTCCGGCCATTATAGCTGGCTAAGTAACATCTTATCAACCTAGTTCAATTTAATATCGTTATTAAAAACCTATTGGCATTTGGCACATGTATAATTTATTGATAACTTTATAACTAAAATATAATTGTGTTTCTAGATTATAATACGTAAAGCTGACTTTAATAAATGTTCATTACCTACTGTGCAATTTAGTTTTGTTGTTTGAAAATGTACAAAAACACAAAATATCTATGTATTATTATTGTGAAGCTATATTAATTAATATACATAAATTGTTTTCGCATATTGTGAATTGTTACGCGTACTGTGATATATAATGATCTGCTTGTAATATATTGTGTAAAAGTTATGATAAAAATACGAAGATATAAATAAACTAGAAGTCATATCTTATTAGAAATAAATGTGCGAGCATTCAGAATAGTTAGTTTTATTTTTGTAATTTAAGATATCCTCGTGAAGTCTAACAAATGTAAAAGTTAGGTGTACCAACATTGAAGTAATATTACTACGTATAGAACAGACATCGCGAACAAAATATGTACAGTGCGGGGTGCGGGGCGGGAATTTGACGGACAGCTGTCAGTCAAATCCATGACTATCAAGTTTCATAATTTATGGCGATAAAATCTGCACCAGAAAATGTCGTACTTCATTGATAGGATTGCACGAATAGTGACGTTCCTGCGGTCGCCTCATCATAGACATTGTGAATCGATTGTGAAAATAAACAAATCGCCTAAATTGTGTTAAATTTTCATGGTGCTCAATAGCAAAAAGGTTCAGCTACTTACATTATTTTCTTTTATTATATTGTGCGTTTCCTGTAATGTAATCTAAGCTCCCCTCCCTTAGACTAAAATTAGCCCTCCTAGACAAGTGACAAAACGTAGCAGTTGAAACATTCGAAATCACTTCGCTCTGCCGTTTTTTGGTGTTAGTTACTTCACTCTGTGATGCGATTTTAAAATTACAACTGGCGATTCCGAATTCACAACTGAGGGGACTGAGGCTAATCGTGTTACTTGTGCTACAAGTGCGTATGGGCTTCATACTGATGCTTAAGCCATTAATTATTTTTCTTCCCGATTAAAATCTAATGTAATCGATAATCGCCTTGAGAATCGTTAACTGGTATTTTCTAATTCGATAAAAAAATTACCCATCTCTAGTTTAAAACTGTCATCCAACAGCGCACGAAATATTATGAGTTATAGATAATGATACCATTACAGAGGCGACACTTCGTTTACGTTTAGTTTCTGCCTATTGAATTGGATACTGTAAGGAAACATCGTCATCATCATTTTAGCTACTGGACGTCCACTGCTGAACAAAGGCCTCCTCTAATGATTTCCACATCGCCCAGTTGATAGTGGCCTGCACCCAGCGTCTTCCTGCTATCTTCAGTCAGTCCATCTTGAGATTTTAGAAAAATTCCCACTCGTCACGGTAGGAACAAAGCTAGGGATGACCCACGCCTTCATTCCAGAACCAATAAAATAACTGAAAGTCAGAAACTTTCAGTTATTTTATTGTCTCTATTGTTAACTAACTCAGTGGTTGAGTACACGTATAATAGCTGTGAGGTAGAAGTTACGGGACTATTCCCACCTCTCCTTTTCACCGCTGCATCTCCTGTGTAGCTAGCACCTAGACTAGTTGATTTAAAGCCAAGGTATATCAGTTTTTAGGTAATGACTTAGTGCATCTAAAAATGTAAAACTTTCTAGTTTTTTGTAACATTGAAAAATCTAAAAAGAAGCATCATTTTTTTTACGTTCAAGTGTTTCTAAGAAATTTAAATGGAAGCTTTTGATGACAACGTATTGCTTACTTTTTCAGCTGTCGAACGAATCACTTTTATACTCATAGGTCCTGTACATCGGTAGATTTGGTAAATAAATGAATCCATCCGGACTCAGAAACTAAAAAAATTAAAATAGCTGTAATTTTTTAATACTGGATTTGTCGATTAAATTGATCATATTATTGCGCCCTAACGGGTCGGACACTGGTGACCAGACACACTGTACAATTATTATAATTTTAGCCTATCTCGTGAGCTAGGTGTCAATAATTAGGGTGATTTACTAACTAACCAGTCGCATACGAACAACAGCAGTGAGATTCAAACAATCTCACTGATCCATGATGCCGCGCGACTATTGTGTGAGCCCACCCGTAACCCAAGCTTATTTAGCTTAACACTAGGGGCTGGACGGGACTATTAGTAATTTGTGCAATACAAAGTGCTTATAATCTAAAAAAAAATATTTTTATTGCTGTATTTAACTTTCCTTTCGTATACTAATTTATGCGTCAGTGTCAAGTCTGCGATTTTTATTCTTTGAAATTTTCGTAAAATGGCTGCCGCCGCGGTGACGCCTTGTAATTAACAAATTAAAATTAAATTAGTGTTTTAAGTGCATAAATGTACAACTTAATGGTAAAAAGTCATTCCTTGATTTTTACTTAATATGTATCTGGGGTTATTTGAACAGTATTTTCGTCTATAGGATGGCATATTTCAAAAAACAAAACTGCACTCAAGCGTGTTGTCACAGCAACCGCTGAGCACATACTAATTGAATTTCGGTCCATGGACCTGTTTGCGTGCCAGAAACAGTCTAGTTGACATGTCTTCTCTAGTACGTAGTACATTATAACTCAATGTGTACCAAGTACAAAAATAGCTTACGGCGCTCCCACAGTGAAGTCGCTAGTTGTTCTATTACGAGATTTACGAGTAAATGACAGGAGAATATTGCTGGTGAGGGAGAGCCTTTACCCCAGCACTTGAACAAAATACAGTATATGATAATACTTATCACCTACATGAATGTAGAACACGGTAGAAATGATAAATTGTGAAACAAGAAACTTTATCAATATAATTTATACGACATCGAAAAAGTCTTGGTCACAACAATGTGAAATGCAAAGCAGTTGATTATAAATTCTTTCTTAAACCTCTAACTATGTTAAGTAAATATTGTGAAATCATTGTTTACTATGATGTAATAATGATGACACCTGAAGGAATAATGCGATTACAGCTTTGTCACGCTTAAACATTATACAATAACCGCACGAACTTCACTCAGTTTTACGAGTTGATAAGCCGGCTGTTATTTTTATATTAGAACGTAACGTCGCATCAAAACACATTGGTGTAGATCAGTGGGTGCTTCACTAAAATAATGGCCAAGAAATTACCAAGTGTCATGAAGGCGGTAGGCCTTTATAAATATTTACCAATTTCCGATGTGAATAGTCTTGTCGATTTACAAGTGAGTGTGCCGAGTGTCCAAAGAAACGAAGTGCTGGTTGAGGTGAAGGCCACAGCTGTGAACCCAATAGACACGAAGTTAAGAGCTCCCAAACCAGATGTGGAAGCAACACCGCGAATATTAGGGTTGGATGGAGCAGGTATTGTGGTGGCAAAGGGAGATGATGCCACTACTTACAATATAGGAGACGAGGTCTTCTTTGTAGGAGACGTGAGAAGCAAGAGTGGCACGAACGCTCAATATGTGGCTTTGGACGAAGTTCTTTTAGGACCGAAACCGAAAAAACTGACGTTTGAGCAGGCAGCTGCCATGCCTCTCACGGCATATACCGCATTTGCTTGCATCTACGATAGGTTGCAAGTAACAAAACAAGATAAAGGTAAAGCTATCCTGGTCATCAATAGCGCTGGAGGCGTTGGATCTGTAGCTACTCAAGCAGCTAAGAACTTGGGTCTTAATGTTATTGGAACAGCATCGCGCGCTGAGAGTAAAGAGTTTACGCGAAAGTATGGTACCGACATTGTTTTGGATCACACCAAGGATCTGGCAACGCAATTGGAGTCTGCAGGGTATGGGGCTGGAGTTGATTATATTTTGGTAAATTATGATCCTGTTCCTTACTGGGATACTCTACCCAAACTTATTAAGCCTGAAGGTCGAATTTGCCTTGTCACAGATGCCAGTACTCCAGTTGACATTAAACTCTTGAAGGATAAAAGCGTGACATTGGTCTATGAAATGATGTTTACAAGAATAAAGTACAATACTGACAAGAAGTACCGATATTCTGAAATATTGAAAACAGTATCAACATTGATTGATGAAGGCAAGCTAGACTGTACACTTACTAAGACGATGTCGCCGATAAATGCTGCCAACTTAAGAGAAGCACATAAGATCATTGAAGAAAAGAAAATGCTGGGAAAACTAGTGTTATCTGGATTTTAAATACCAATTTATACAAACATCAGTTGTTTCAGCCTAATTTTTAGGACATGGTTTTTTACTCTGGATGTGAGAATAAGTTATTTTAGATAAAGAATGCATTTCCAGTTATTAAATTGTTGTTTTAATAATGAATTAATTCTTTTAACTTAATGTAGGTACACTGCTCAAACCTTTGTAAATTAGTCTGGAAAAATTTCAGTGTTTTTCATGTTTATTAATCCATGCATCTTATTTTGTGCAGAATGAAGCCATTTATTTAAAAAAATGACTTCCAGAAATCTAGTTCTCTTTCATTATCATATTTTAATAATCAAATAGATAGTTATAAAAAGATTCAACTTTACTGTTTGCTAATAGATGCAATATTTGATTGGTTCAGCACACTGGGGTCAAATTCCTTTCCTTTGAATGGTGAGCCATCTGCGTTCCATGCCTTTTTCAAAATATCAATGTTGCGAAGTTCATCACTTGTAGGGAGTCCTTTATATTTCTGTTCCTGATTCCACTGCAGTTCTCGGATCTAGAACATAATATTATAATAATGTTTGGTTAGTTTTTGAACTATAATAAAGTAAAGCTGTAGATAAGCTACTAAAATAAGTGTACCAGATTCATTGATAGATAGATAAAATGTAGTAAATTTTATTATTGATACTTCATTTTTTAACAAACTAATCTAAATTATTTACAAAAATCTAGGCACCTTAGCAATATGGTCTTCTGGCAATTCATCCATTGGACGAGAACAATCTATTTTTGATAGATCAATAGCCTCTTCATTGTTCAAAATTTTATTCCACCAGCGCTCTTGGACTTTTTCTGTAGAAGAAAATTATCATTAGGGTCATTCCATCGTTTCGGGTGTTACGTTCGTACACACATATTCAACAATTTCATGTATTTTGAAATAGTATTTTAATAATGTTAGTGCCTTAATCTGTCCGTTTTTATTTGTTTTATCTAAATAATAAAGTTTGTATAGCTTAAAATGTAGGATAACGAAAATATAAGTCGAAAAGTGTGCGTTTCGGGCGTTACGAGATTTTGCCTCTATGTTCTGACTGTTGCTGCATTTACTCGAAATTTAGCGAATTTTCTTAAGGAATCATACCTAAAACTTACAGGACTTCTAAAGTATGAAATTTACAAACCATGTAATACACAATCACTATTACATAAAACGTTTTACTATTTTNTAGCAATACCTTAATTTTAGTGTTAAGTCAACATTTCAAAAAAGTCTTAAATAGAGAAATATGACTCCTTTTCCGATGCCAGCGCTAGAGGGAGGTGGAAGGACCCTCACAGTAATACTTTTTGACGTCTCCAAGCAATATAGACACATTATCGACAATAAATAAAAATGTGATATCCGAAACGTTTCGGGTGTTACAGTTTTTAATCAAGAAAAAAACACACATAATTAGTATCATGCTCAGATATTAGTTAGTATTTGAAATCATTACTACCATGACCTTACTTTTACTATTTATTGTTATCCTAATCCATGTGTAAGGTACAATAATAAAGCAAATACCTGTTTTTTTTGTTTCGGGTGTTACATCGTCGAAGTAACAAGAAAACACACTTAAAACTTGATGATTATCAATTTTTTTGGGACTATGACGCTATCTACCAATACTATGATAAATACCCTCAAATCATATAGTAGCAAAACGGTTCACAGATTGATAGTTTTTTTTTAATCGAATTACTAATAATTAGAGAGAAAATGATCATTCAGACAGTTGACTTAAGTATAGACTTTGAAGACTAATAACTTAAAAATTACTTGTTTCTTTCAGATTTTTTTTGTTGCACATTATAATTTGGAATGTTTACTTTCAAAATTCATCAGATTTAATGCGAAAAGAACATATTTAGTTTTTCACCCTCGGTAACATTTGTCATGGAATGACCCATTAGTTCCTTAACCTCCTAATAATTCCAGGTATTTTTTTCTGAATTTCATTAAAAAATTGTGAAAATGTGTTAAAAAAACTTCACTACAAATAACAAGAACTTACTATCAGGAAAAATTTTTTTAGTTGATGTCCTATGAGTAGTACAAAGGCAGTCAAAAGGTTAAATTTTAACTTTTTAATAAAATTAAAATAAGTAATGGATAATATTGTATGCTCAGTGTCTGAATAACTTTTTTATGTAAAAATATACAAAAAAATATACAAAAGACTACCTAAATGTATCAAAAGTCGCCCTTCACTCAATGTCCAGAAGCTATCAATGGTCTTGATCTTGTATGGCAAGGTGTCTTTTATTATGATGTCCCCATTACGGCAGGCTACACAGATGTCTCCACTGTTAATTGTTACTTTGAGCTCCTTCGCTGACTTTACGGTGGGAGGAAGTTTTACTATCACATCTGAAAATGAACAATGACAAATGAAAACAGACAATAATGCATATTTCTATAAATAAAAGAAGTTCTTGGAAATAGGAAATATATCAACATATAAAAGAAAAAAATATATTACATACCAAGCTCCATAATAGTTTGAGACCAGGAATATTTATCTCTCTCAGCACCGTTATATGTTTCACTATTTTTCTGTGTTGGTATCACAGGTGGTGCACAAGGGGAGACACATTTAGAACTATCTTCTTTTTTTGACGCCTCTCCAGCAGCTGGAATACTTTTTGGTATTTCTGTTCTTTCAGTAGAACTTTGAGGATCAGGTTCTATAGTTTCAGCTTGATTTATGGACAAGTTTCCAACATCTATCTCATCATCCTCTGCTACAACCTCTACTTCTTGTGCTACCGTCGAGCACATAATCTCGTTGTTCACATCCGTAGGTCTTTTGGCGCCGTTGGGCCCTTTCCAGTTCTTAGGATCGCAAGTTCGCAAAACTTTCATAACAAGCTCTTCGGCTACTCCAGGAGGAAAACCCATGTTTTCGTAGGCACCTTCAGGCACATAATAGAAGTCCGTACTGCAAAAACAATATTTGAGATGTAATCATCTCATAATTTACCGTAAAAAATAAGAATTTCTAAGTATACCAACCGTCGCGCTAAGAAGTTGAATATAGCTGAAAGAAATCCCAGAATAGATTTTTCATTGATCAAAATCGATGTGAGCACATCATCGTACTTTGTAAATTCAGCTGAAGCAGCCATTTTATTAATTCTTTCCAATAAAAGTATTCGAAGAAGAAAACACGATTTTTGTAAGAGAAAAAACATCAACACGCGAGACGTCAAAATAATGAACTGTCATCCATCTGTCAATGTCAAAAACTGTTTTTTTTTTTCTGATCAATTATAGTCAATGAAAGTAAAAATATACAGCCTCTAAAAATATGATACCAGTATACGACAACCAAAAACTACTAAATATTTCTTTATTTTTACACTGGCATCCCTAAAACCAGTTTTTTAATTTACATTCCCGCCACTTGGCGGAGTGGTTTCGCTTTCGAAAGTTTCACATCCGCAAGAGAGCGGCAAGGCAAGACAAGGCGAAGCTAAGTAGGCAAAGAAGTCTCGCGCGCGAACTCCGTACGCTGCAGGCGATGACCGCATTCATATGAGTTTTTATTATTTGTGAGTGTGCTGTCGTGTTCTCCGCTCCGTTGAGTGTTTACGAAAATGCTGCATAGGTGAACTGGGAATAAAAGTGTTGTGATTGTGATAAACCTATCTTAGCTCTTTTATCTTTTACTGTCTCCTAAAGGTTGTAAAAATGCCTTGCTCTGCAGTAACTTTGTCTATAGCGACCATTACGGCAATCGTGGCTGCTGCTCTAATGGCAATAGCCTTTTCTACAGATAACTGGCTTTACATTGAAGTCAAGCGAAGCAATATTCAGGTAAGTTTTACATAAATATTTATTTTTATAAATACCTGTGGCATGGTATTATTTTTTGTATTTTTTGTCTGTAGAAGTAGCCTATTTATTTCATTCCAGCAAAATTTTGATCAGCTAAGTAGTCATGGCCTTTTTTGATACCTAACATAAATAAAGTTGCTTATTTTTTAGTCCCCTTTAGCTTTAAGCAAGGTCATCCAGATATAGTTCAAAGTGAAAACGCGTGGAGTTACGTTTCTCTGTATCCTTGAAGTCCATACATAATCCTAAAACCGTGGTATTTTTACATGTAAATGAATTTTTTGTCGAGAGGTATTTAAGTGGAGAAACTACATACAATCTAGATAAAACTGTTCGAATAAAAATACCATGCAACCTTGTTGTTATTTTATTACCGATTGTTTTGCAGCATCAACTGTTAACAATCCAAAACAATCTTGATCGATGATAAATCTTGCGCTTGTGAGTTGCGACACTTCCTTCGATTCATTGCAAATAAACATAAAAATTGGGTCGAAAGGTCATTTCAGAGGCTCTATTGTCGGTGCAGTAAGGTCTACAATTGTACCGAAAACTGCAATCAATCCAGAATGTGGTCAAATTCACTAACAGAAAGTCGGCGCAGCACGTATTCTTACAAGTCCTTGCTGGGGCACCGTTAGAGTAGACATGTTACGCATAAATATGCAGTATTAATGGCACGAACGAATGTGTTCGTAACTGTACTATACCGTGGGCTTGTGGGCTCCTGCCATTCGAGAGAAAATTTCAATTCCAGATAATGGAAAGAAACGCTGCAGATAAGGCTTATCGCGTCCCAAATAGCTATCCCGGTCCACTTTTATTTGGGACAGGAATACATAACTGAATTGGCAGCTAAATCTTTTCCAACTACGGTTATAAGATAATAACAAAAAAAATCCAAATAAAGACCGATTAAAAATAAAGTGCGCAAAGAAGCGTAGCTATAAACTGAAAAATCACATGGTTATTTTGCTACAAGTTTTTATGCAACAGGTTCTGGGTTTTTCTTTCAAGTCGGGGTCATTTTTTGCATCGTGCGACTCGACAAGCCGCCTCTACCTGCCGACTAAGAGGCTTTTTTCCTTTTATTCCAAGGGGTTACTTGAAGGCATTTCAAAAGCGGATCCTATCGTACGTGACTGGGAATAGTTGTGAAACAAAGATGACTTTATAATAAAAAGATGTATGTACCTATAAGTTAGTACTTCAAAGCTAACAAACGATTTACTCGTAAGGTACATATTTATGAAAAATACTTGTGTATTTTTCCTACATGGATTGTAGGAAAATGCGTAGGAAAATGCCCAAAACCCAACGTGAAATGTTATCGACGCTACCTAATTAAGTTTCTCGTGGTGACGCAATTATATGATAGTTTAAACCGGTAAATATGGTTAAATGATTCATTGATTATGAGCTAAGCAGCTATTAAGGAAAATGAGTAAAATTAATGTTCGAAAAACGATACCACAAAGTAAACGAATAATTATCCTGAAAATGACTGGCGTGGTACTAGGTATGCACACAAATATAATACACCTAACGTAATTTACTAGTTTTTGCCCATTGCTTCAATTTCAGACCCTTTCAAGAACCGGGATAAAGAATAACATAAAATACTAAATTGTAAAATATCCTTTTTTTCTGGGTCTCCTAACTTATACATACTGTCTCTATGTCTAAATTAAGTCTAAAACCGTGCAAAGGTAACACACAGCTATAGACAGTACCTACTATATCTACTTTCGCAATTAGTAATTAGTATGGATCTTGATATGTTGCGAATAATCAATTTAAAAGCATTACACTACACTTATGTATGAGTATTAGATCACTTGTGATGCGCCGTGTAAAGCCCGGAGAAATCTGCGTCGGCCGCGAAAGTGACAAAATCTGTGAGAAACTTAGAATTTTATGCCGAAGTCATGCAACTTGTGGTGTCACCGACAGTTGCATTAAACACGTAATTAGTTTTAAAAAAGATTTTCTATTATATCAGCTATTTGACACGTTAGTGTTATAACGAGTCTCTGTGTGACTTTGTACCTACGCGTGGTAATCTTTTCCAGTGACTGACAAGGTCTCAGTATTTATGATACAAATACAATCAATTAAACAGTAACCAATAAGTAAAACGAGTAAGAACAATATCGCTTAAAAAGTAACGTGAAGTAAATTAGATTTACCCATTTGTTTGAATCAATTGAGTTGCTACTTAAACACGCGTGGTAAATTCTAGGCATCACTGTACAAAGAACTGTGCATTGGAATGGTAGACTATGAAAGCATAGGTTGAAACTGCTTTAAGTATTATGTTATTCCAGATGAACTTTCTTTTGGCAAACGCGTTGAGTAAGGCAAACCCAGCTGTATAAATTAACTACGAAGAAAGTAGTTGCTTGGTAAGCAGATGCCGAAGTGTATTGCGTAAGTTCGGCATACAGTAGTAAAATAGAATCTTTACTTTTACGTGGGAAACAAAAAAGATTATCCCATTAATTAAAATTTGTAATCAGTATAGGTAATGTAATCATATATTTATTGTAAGTTTTGGTCATGTTGAAAAACAGTTGATTGCTGATCATCACCTGAAATGCTGAATGCTACCGATGGATCATACTTTCACTGTTCTGCCAATAGATTTTCCTGGCAAAATAAGAAGAGAGGCAATCAGAATGCATTAAAGAAATTACTTATTTATATTGAGTAGTAAATATGCACGAGTATGTCTAAATGTAAGGTCATCACTTGCCGTCAACTGACCCACATGCCCCCTTTTCTCTCAAAAGCCAATTTGTTCCAGTTTTGACTAACTAATTTCTAACGTGGTTCTCAACATGTTCATTAGATTATTATGCTAATTCGACACGGGAAGCTGACGGGGATTTGTTTGTTTTGTTACCTGCCCTGGGACCGGATGTTCGGTTTGTTTATCCGTCCAAAATAAACCATTTGTTGGAAGTCCGTAAAACATTCCGGTAAAAAATCCTTTCTGTGAGCAGACGTGAAAGGCAACCCCCATGCAACTGTTATTTTTAAATTACTAGCTAGCCAACAACTAAGGCTGAGTTGTTATAACTATAACAATAACCGGTGCTTTTACATAGAATTTGACAGTTTAGTTTAAGTAAAAGTAGAAGTAGGATGGATCAACTCAGCCTAAGTATAGCGTTAAAAAATCCTGTCTGTCTGTTTGGAATATCCTTGCTTGTAAGTTACCTAATATCGGTATGATCTAAGAAAACGGTGTTCCTTTCGATGTGGAGAATGCTTTAATTAAAACTTATGTTTTTCTTTTTGACTCCTCATGACATGATCACAGCTGTGAGATCGTTCAAAAGGCATCATGGAAACACTAACGAGGTAATTTCATAATAGCAACAATACACCAACAGAAGGCGTATCACAACCTGCTTTCCCAGCACTCCACCTACTTCTCACGACTTCCGTCTACCACTGACTCTCCGCTTTCATGGTTTCACAGAAAACTCGATTGTAACCATTCGATTTGCGTCGTGACATCGGAAGTCATAATCGTGGTTAAGTTATAAATCGTTAATTGAGAACAAATTTGGTTTCGTTGGTACGATTTCATCGATTAAGGTAGTTTTTATGACGTCTTTTGATTGATTAGTGCGTCTTCGAATGGACGTTGTGGAAAAAACTTGATTTCTATACAATTTTTTATATACAAGGTCTAATTCCACAACACCTGAAACAATTTTCAGATATTCCACGTCCAGCAGGCCATACTGTTATAAATTCAGACTGAAAATTTCAGTAGTCATTTTAAAAGTTATGTACCTACATAATGTAACATAACACCTGTTGCAGGTGATGACAGACCAATAATAGTCTGTTATTTGATTGATTGATCGGCTATAGTATTACTGTCTTTGGCTAAAGAAGGCGGCGCGTGCGCAACCGTTGCCCAAGAGTACATGCGCGGATGTTGCATGGACATGCGTCAATGCAGCTTCTAATAGCTGTTCAACTGTAAAACATTGGCTGTAAACAAACACATAAGTAGAAATAATTTGCAAGAAAATATCCACTAAGATAGAAAGCTCTTTTCTATGTACAGACAATTCAACGTCAAGATAAAATAGATGTTATTTTGCAATAAAAATGTAGTCATATTATGTTCTGTCGGTTGTATATTCGACAAATTAAGTGAGGGTTATTTGAGGATTGACCGCATTGATATTGTTGACGATACAATAGAAGATAAATAAGTAGACAATCTGACTATTTAACATATGAGACAAACTAAACATTAATTAACAACAAAAGTGTAGTCATAGAGTCTAAATTAATTTATTATCTTTAAGTTGTTAGACACGTAATGGCATTGTTTAAAGTAGAAACTTTATT